TATTTATTATATTAATCCCAAATAAAATCAATATAATATTAATAATTCCAATCTTTAAATTATATATATATATTTTTTTCAAAATTCAATATTTTAATTCCAAAATTACCTACATACAAAATTTCCCAAAAATCATTTATTCCAACCTCCCTCCCCTCTTATATAATAAGAAAATATTTATTAAATAATATATTATATTATAATTATTAAATATATATGCAAAAAATATTTTCGAACATATATTTCAATATATAATCGGATCGAATACTTATTTTCAAAAATTCAACAAAATTATCAAAATTATTAATATAAATAGAGAAATATCAATGCAATTATATATTAAATTGTTCAAATTTCTATGAATAGGCAAGGAAATAATAAAACCGATTGAATTTCCGAACAAAAAACATATTATAGATAGTCAGGATTTATGTATATCTTATTGCTCAAAACAATATTTTACACGGACAACATATCTAAATATAAATCAATTATCAATTATTTGGAAAATCAATGATATGCGTTCGAAATCAATTAGATACTATAGTAAGTGAAAAGGCTCAATTCTTTGCTCTTTTTTCAGGGATTTGATTGGGTAGCTTGTAATTCTAAGGCTTCTGGTCGTCTGGCGCTCTCAGATTGAGATGAACGAGCAAGCTCCCTTCCACAACCTGGGGAGCGTTCAAGACATCTCTGGGCCTCTTGAGCGTTGTGACCTTCGATTTCGATTTCGATTGTAAAGTGACTACTCCGGGCTACTCCTCCAATCTTTCCAGGAAGTCAGGTCCATGTCAATCCATTCTGATAACAGCAGCAGAGTTTCCTTGTTTGGGGGAGAGATTTCCATGGCAGTCCATGCCCATCCAAGAATATCCAAGAATACCACCAGCCTCTTACCATCTACGAATGTCCCATCCTTGTTGGGTATACCGGTATACCTCATGTAATTCCCACACTCCGTTCTTGGACATTGGGTCTGTGTCAAGCTTGAGTACCATCAAACAAATGTTTCCTCCACATGCTAAACACGGCCAGTCCCTTTTTACCATAGCAAAATTCAACAGTATTATATATATATGTATACATACATACAAAGGAATCATCAACCAGAAATCACATAATCCTCTTACTAGTGCTATGTTCTAGTCTTGCTGTTTAGACTATAATTTAGACAAAAGAACCGCAGCAACTGCTTCTTTGTTTACGTTCTTCTTGGGTCCGCATTCGATTTCGACCCCCAACCAAGGTGAATTAGGCAGATGATATTCCGTACAGATCCGTACAGTATGACTGGTTGGTGGCTGAAACCCCTAAACAAAACAGGCAAATCAAACCACTCACCTTTTCCCGGATGGCTAAATTCCTATCTTTCTTTGAATTCCAAGGGTAAGTAGCGAAGTATTGTTTTTTTTACAAATCGTGATTCATGATATGTCTTTTCTTTTTTTTTGTTTACCGACTTAGCAATGCTCTTTGCATCGGTATAATCCTCTTAAACTGTTTGGTGTCTCGGAGTTCCCGGTCCATGGCGTACAATAACCCACAGATAGACAAATAAACATATAAGGTTGACAGATAGATAGATGGATGGATGGATGTTCGGATGGAGGGATGGATGGGTAGATAGATAATTAACCAGATAGCTAGTTTCGATCAAATGATGATAGAGAATAACAAACCGTTTTTGATCAATCATATCCCTGACATTTTAGATGGGTAGAATCCCTATTATAATTAAATGATGATTCAACCCGCATCAAATACAGTAACGAAGCAACAAGGTTATCTTTCTTGAACATATTATTGGTCAAAGGTATCCCATAAAATATGCCGATATCAACCCCATAATATTCCCTGAAGATGGTTAAACAATAATCCCATAAGATGATAAAATACATCATACAACTCGCTATTCGACAAATGTTCAGTACCCTCTGTTCTCCCTTTTCACTACTAGGTTAAACACATATTTTCCACCTCATGGATTGCGACTGCATCCCGACAAAACTTGGATAGCTTTGGATAGTAGAACCCCATATAATCATCAGTCAACAGGGGCTTAGCAGCCCCTGCTCAGTAAAACCACAGTAGTAATTTGGTTTATAAATCCCATGAACCATAGATATATCTGGCTGAATTATACCAATTCACTGACCTGAAAATAGCTGAAGTAAAGCAACTTGAGAATGATTCCCCTTTCTGAGCATCATTCCAGTGACGTTACGACGTGAGGTTGCTATAATTCACACAGCGAGGTCACTAGAATTCATCCAGAGCATACACATCCTATAATTTTCATATATGTTCATGTTAGTAAACACAATATAACACCAGAATAAATCATCTGAATCATCCCCAAATTGACGGTCCGCCATAGGTGGTCTGAAGCAGAAGCGCCCTTGGACCCTGGGACCTCGTCCAAGTCGAAGCTTCCAAATCCACAGCAGGGCAATCGCCAAAAGGACCACTGCCTTTCGAGGTACCCGGCGTTTCGAGGCGTCCCGTCCCATCAGTCCAGTCCTGGTGAGGGAATTCCATCTGAAATCGATGGGTTTTATGTCATGTTTTAATATGTTTTATGTATATGTTTATTGTGGCTGTCATTATGGTGTGAATTAGATGGTTTGATGATGGCGTTTTGACCAGCAAAAAGATTCAAGAGTAAAGTACTGCTAGAATAAGGATTAAAAATTAAATATGAATACATTTAATGTAAATATGAATACATTTAATGATTTAATGTTCCATCTTTTTGGGTGTTATTGTTTTTAAATTAAATAATATGATGGTTTTGTAATGTTGTAACTATACAAACCATGAGCAACTAGGCTTTCTTATGAGGTCCATCAGCCTAAGGATCAAAACCAAATGGCGCCCTATACCCTTCTGTTCACATAAGGTGATAGGTCTTCTTCGTGAATACTCATCCACGCTTTCATCCCTTTTTCTTGGGTTAGCACCACCAGATATCATACGTGGCAATTTTCAGCTATCAGATGTGATAAAATGGAGGCAGCATCCGAGTATAGAGATGTCATACCCTTGGTGTTCTTGGTAAACTAGTTGATGCAAGTGTAGTCCGCAACCAAACGCCTGCACCAGGTGGTATCTTCTGCCACTTTGTCACTAACGGGGGCATCAAGCAATAGTCATGGATCAAACCAATGAACTTCTATGAAACCCCGAAACTGGATGGTTCTGTACTGATACCAACCAATTCAAATTCTATTGCTACCGCAACTTCGATGATTTCCTATTACGGTAAAACGTCAATGACCATGGCATTGGAGAAATGGAAATTCCCGACAAAAGGCAATTCAAACCCAGCATCTATAAATATCAATAAATGGGGTATCTTTATACCCTACATCTCGCCGGCCATCCGCCCCAGGCGCGCCCCGGCGCAAAGCCCGAAGCGGAGGAACACCGCGCGGGTTTCCGATGGCATAACAACCTTGCTTCCGGTGGAACCCTCTTTTCCATTCGAAATGGGTTTAGGTGTTTCTTGATCTCAAATAAAAGGCATTCATATTCATATCATTCATCCAATTCGGGGAAATTCATGGAATTACCGACCTGGCAAAAATATGTCCCTTCGAATTCAGTTATTACCCTGTATTCACAGATTCTTTTGAAACGGATAAATGGGGAATGTATACACCCCCCCTCCCTCTACAGAATCCACAAACCTCATCAAAATGGCCCTCTATAGAATCTAGGAGTACGGGGTACTGACTTAATGCACCATTTTTGTGGAATTCCCCTCTATAGGATCAGAGCCTTTGAGAAGGCACGGTGCACACGGGTTTTTCTCAATGTTGACTTGGCCCATCTGCAAAACGCATCGGAAAATCATGTTTTCAAGTCCTTTGTAGACAATAGGTGACAACAGGCACGCAATTTGAAAATTGTTTGCTTCTTTGTCCTACTATTTTTGGAACCCTATAAACCCGAACTAAAATAACTGCAAATATGTTTTAAATCATCGTGAACTATTAAAAAACATAAAAATAGTAAAACGTTCTAATTAAAACCATTAAAATCTACAGATGAAAGTCTGGAGAGGAAAGCACATATGGATTGAACAGAGCCGTGTGCAGGGCATCTGACATAGATTCAACATGAAACAGGTCAAAACAACAAATACACTGGAGATCCGTTTTTTTGTGATCTATTGTGATTTCTTGGTTTGGTTTAAAAAATGGCCAGCTATGCTAGTCTACGAAAGAGGAACTCACCCACAGAAACCCATGCACCCCTACCCGTGTATAGAATATTATAGAATCAGGAACCCACGGAAACCCAGGTTCCTCCCTCCATGTGGTGATGTTGCGAGTGAATGGAAAACAAGTAGAAACAAACAGACAGTACACGATATGACAAATAGACAAAAAATAAATACTAAATTGTATATAAATATATAATAATCACCTCATGCAACAAATGCTGTCATGAAGATACTTGACAAGAAATTATATTGCCGTTCTGTTGCACCAATGTATACTTAGACCACCTTAAACCACCGTGAAACTTTCTTGTGCCTCAGTGGTTCCTGTGGCTTGGAGATGTAGGTGAGCAGGGTTCAAAACAGCTCTTCATGCAAGCGAGGAACCACATGAGGAGGGAGGGGCACAAATCTCAAATCCTATTCATTGATATTATCAACCATTGTTGACAATATAAATAAAATTAAAGGAACTTGAGAGCAAAGATCTTCTTACTTGCCCAATTTGATAACAAGAATAACACTTTCTACAATGATAAAATCAGGCTCTTGAAACAAAAAATTACCCTCTATAGAATCAGAACCACCATGTCGAGGACGTTTAGTCCAAAACCCCGCAAGAGGCTCACTATAGAATCAGAACCAGAAAATACACCTCTATGAAATCAGCACACCAGTTTCTAATGCAACCAAAAGGCGTAATTGATAAATTAAAGGACCAGATTTCTCCCAATAAGTAGCAAAAAAAAGGTGAAGACGGGATGGGAAAGGCAGGCAAGAGAAAGGAGATGGTGGAACAGATCGAGTGAGAGAGTTCTGTGTAAGAAGGTTGTGTGTGAGAAGGTTTATAATATGCATTTGAAAAAGTAAAGTATGTGTGGGTTCTGTGGAGGCGGCAGGAGGCAGATTGCGTGAAAGAGGTACGTATGATAAAATTGCGTGAGAGTTGCTTGTGAGAAGGTTGTGTGTCAGCAAATTGTGTGTGAGAAAGTGTGTGTGTGAGTTGCGTGGACATGGTGGGAGAGAGATTGTGTGAAAGAGGTGCGTATGAGAGAGTTGTGTGCGAGAGACCTGTGGGGGTCAGTTGTGTGTGAGAGAGTTGTTTGCGTGAGAAGGTTGTGTGTGAGAAAGTGGGTATGAGTTGCGTGGAGATGGTGGAAGAGAGATTGTGTGAAAGAGCTATGTGTGAGAGAGTTGTATGTGTGAGAGTTGTGTGTGAAATTGTTGTGTGCCATGTGTGGCCAAAGACAGTTGCGCCAAGACACTTGCGCCAAGTAACACGCCTGCCACACAGAATGGAGGTCGATGCTTCCAAATGCCACGCCTGCCGCGTCCATGGCGACAAATGGGAACCAAGCGCGCCACCAGAGCCAGCCCAGTGCCATAAGTGCCACGCCTGCCACACAGTGTGCAGGGTGCATTTGAAAACAAGGCCGTTGTAGCCCCTCACCCAGCCTTTGGCAGAATTGGCAAGTGGCATGCTGTAGGTTGCTTTGGCGTAAATTCTTGGAACGCGGTCTGCCGATGCGCTCTGAGCGTCCATGGAGTCCTGGGTCTCACATGCGAACTGCAGAAATGTAGCTGTTCCTGCGGCAACTGCTAAGACAGCTGCAACCACTGCAGCCCCAGTCACCACTGGAACCCAAATGGGCGATGTTGGAACTGCTGTCTTTGCAGTTGTTGCTCCTGCGATCGCTGCAGAAGTCGATGCAGCTCCAACTGCTGCAGTCGCCGTTTTCATTGACATTGCCATGGTCAGCGGGGTCGCCCCAGAACCCATCAAGCCCCCAGAAAGTCCCAGAGTACTTGTGCAAAGCTGAAGGTTACAGGCTCCATGGCTGCGGGCTGCCGTCTGTGCATCCCTGCGCGTAGATCTAGGAGTGGGTGCCTGACCCGCGATTGGCACAGCTTCTGTCATAAGATGTTCTGCCCTAGGTATTCGAAAGTGCTGACACACATGCATCAAAGACCACATCTTTTCGACTCTGAGGCTGTCAGCAGCTTGACTTGCACTACCTGATCACAGCTATGAAAGCCTCATCAGAGCAGCGGCATCCACAACTACTATCATTTCAGACTTGCAATCTGAACAAGGTTCCTTTTTGTTCAACATGCTCCTCCAGTCCTCACATTGAAATCTGTTTGAGATGATTTGAGGTTTTCGTTTGGCAAGCCAGCATCTGAAAATCCATCCGACTGTCCGTGCATGTTAAATGGCGGGAAATCGTGGCTATGTCGAGCTAACACCCACGTTTCCGCAAAGGACAGGACCCCTTACAAAAAAGACCCCATAGGTGTGGCACACCATCTTCCCACTTCCCAGGCCGGTCAGCCAAGAAACTTCGTAATTAGTCCAAATGAAGACCCAACTCTTCATCCCCAGTCCTTTCGGAGACATGAGGGTTTCGGGGGTTCTGCATTTCTTTGCGGACACCTCAGATCCCCAAACATTCATTCTCTGACCGCCTGTCGATCCCAATGTTTATGTTATGAAGACTATGCTGAAGAATGTGTGCATCTTCTGTTTCCTGATGCACAGCAGCTGAACCATTCAACCCTTCGAGCCTTTCCAATCTATTGGCCTCTCACCCCATTCAGGTGCCCGGATGGTGCCCAACAGCACCAGCCATTGATCTGCGAACCAGAACCCCACCAGCCGATGGCACCAAAAAAGGTTTCAAATGAAATTCTCATCTTCAACCGTGGGAAGGCTAAGGGTAAGGGGAATCGGGGTAAACTACTTCAAGAAATCGTCAAGTGCTGCGGGTAGGATCCTGAAGCATGTCTCAATAATCTTTCATGAGTTTCATGTAACTGTATCGACTGTATCTATATATATATATATATTTTTAAATGGGGTGCTGTTTTTCTTTCAACCAGGAACCACGTTTGGACATGTGATGTCTTCAAATTTATGATCCCATTTGCCCTGTGGATAGCTCAGGAAACTTTCATCTGCGAGGTGGAGGTCATGAAGTCAGAAATCACCCAGTGTGAGCTGGCGGGGGAAGGGGAAATTGTGTCACGGGTCTTGAATCCCTTTCTCTTCAAGTCTTTGTTTTTCATTTTTTGTTCCTCTTCATCTTCTTATTCTCATCTCCGTTTCTCTTCACTCTACAGATGCTTCCAAATGCCATGCCTGCCACACAAACAGCCGCGGCGTCAACGGCGACAAACGGGAACCAAGCGCGCCACCAGAGCCAGCCCAGTGCCATAAAGCGCCACGCCTGCCACAGTGATTTGTGTGTGTGAGGGTGTTGTGTGTGTGTGTGTGGGAGAGTTGTGTGTGAGAGTGTTGTGTGTGTGGGGGGAGTTGTGTGTGCGAGTGGTGTGTGTGGGAGAGTTGTGTGTGTGAGCAAGTTGTGTGTGAGAGAGTTGTGTGTGAGTGTTGTGTGTGAGAGAGTTGTGTGTGAGTAAGTTGTGTGTGAGGGAGTTGTGTGTGAGAGAGTTGTGTGTGAGAGAGTTGTGTGTGAGAGAGTAGGAGGGGCGGGAGGAGGAGCGGACGCGAGTGCACAACCAAAAACAAGAACCCCACACAAAGATGTGGGGAAAAAAACTTTGCAGAGGAAATTGGCAGGGTATGCAAAAATGCTGTACAATTTCCTTATGCGTAATACTTTTGTACAGATTTAAACTGATAGTTTCTATATAGGGAGCAATTGAGCAATTTTACGTTTAGACCTGATGTTACTTACACACACACACATATATATATATACATATGGGAACTAATGGAGATTTAGTCCAGAAATGCATCTGATACTAACAGATGGTTGCGGAGTTGTGGACTCTACTGTAATGTAAACCCATATAAACCCAATTTCATAATCCATCCCCAACAGCATTTTCATGGTAGAAACCATCCCCATGGTAGCTTTATGCCACGGAAACGGAAACCGCACCTCAGTGGCTTCCTGAAGACCTTCTCCCACGCAATAGTCCCAGGTGTTTCGGCCGCAAGTGTTGGCTTCCACCTAGAACTCGACTGCGAGTCGACTGGATGAGTCACTGGGAATGCTTTGAAGCAACCATGGAGCCTGTGTTTCGAACTTTGGAATGTCTTTGAAGCAACCAGTGGAGATTTGCTTTCAATCCGAAACACAGCTGTATGATGCATATGGATGCATATGGCGTATGCAAAATCCATCAAACTCCCACAATAGGCCAGCTCCTGACTTGACAAACAAATAGGAAAGTTACACTTTCCAGACAGGAAAAAGCATCTTCCAAAGCCATTTCTTCAGGCGGTCAGTGGGGATAGCAGCTATCTTCCAGGGTAGATTGCCGGAGATGTTTTTGTCCGCATCGATGGGTTCTTGAGGTCGAGAATTCCGTCTCATACTGGGTAGGCATAACCCCCAATATGACTTCATCATGAATCAAGAGCCTCCAGATTGAACAACTCCCAATGATACGCTGTTCGGAGTTTCCAATAACATCATGAATGGACCAAGAGCCAATGAATGGACATAGTTCCTCTTTTGCGATTCATTGTGATGGCACTAAGAATTCTCATTACCAATGGTGGCTATGCCCTTCGGATCTCTTTGGGTAGGCTTATCATCAGAGATACCTAAACTGCAAGATAAATTTGGATGAAATAGACTGTTTGTCCGCTTTTTGCCAATCTTTTGGTCAACAATCTTTGATGCCAACCCCCTATCACATCCTAGGGTCCTATCATTCGGGGTCTCAGGGAATTTGACCGTAATAACCGTAATAGTGGGTCTTACAAACGTTGAACTTAAACAGTGTCATTCACGTGTGTCCAACCGAATGTCACTAATGTTCACCCCCGGACCACCTGGCGATGCAACTGGACGTTGATCCCCCAATTCATATAGTCGCAGCTGGCATGTGGGTTCCCCATTATTGGTTGAGGAGCAATTACATATATTGAATCAATCACTTTCAATCGCCATTTTTGATGCTGAATCATGATTCTCTTTGATGATTTACCCCTTAGTCAGGTTTACTAATCCCTTCCCCCTAATATGAAATATACCCCATAGAAACCAGTGGTTTAGGACTTGGAGGCCCCCCAGCGGTTCATCACCGTCGCCTGACACCAGCTGAGCGCGTCGTTTTCGCTGGCCGGGTGGCAGCCGTGCCAAAGGATGCACTTGTTCCTGGGGGACGGTCGTCCCACATGGGGAATCCAAACATCATGGGTACCCGGCCTGGTAAACATACAAAAAGCTATTGAAACTGGCCATAGAAATAGTTGATTGTCTCATTCAAAATGGTGGATCTTTCCATAGTTATGTTAGATTACCAGAGGGTCATCATGTTTGTCTGTCATAGATCATAAATCCCTGTGAAAATGGATTGATGACCATCCCCATACCCCAATACATGGCGTGGCTCGCGGAGAATGGCAATCGACCATGGGATTTGGAGTACTAGTTAATCACATGGGTAACCAAAATCTGGATATCTAATCAACAACTGATACCGGATATTATTAAGTTTTTTTGATTTATATCGATTGAGTGATAAGCACAATCATGTATGTTCATGAGAAATATCGGATCTTTAGCCTCTTTAGCCTACATTTTAAGGAGTGTTATAGACACACGATAAACACACAGCGTCGGCATTACCCATCCAGGTTCACCGAAATAAATCTGGGGGCCCTTGGGCCCTTGGCCAGGGCTCTTGGGTCATCCTATGATATCCTATGCTGGGAAGCAAGTTACCATATCTTACTGGGGTCATGGTCTATCCCATTCAGAGATGGGTTATGAGATGTTGCGAGAATGCTGGTGCAATTAGGTTGAAACATGCGGCACATGTGGAGTCCAAAGCTCGAGTGGTGATGAAAACAGAAGCAACAAGAACAGCAATCACTCCGGATACCCTCCGGAAATCAAACATGGCAATTGAAAATCCGCCATTTATCAGATGTTTTCTTCCCATTCAAAGCTACATTTAGTTCGGGGACTTTCCGGCCACGTTGGACCAGAGGGTACAGGTGGTGAAATCCGAGGGTATCTTGTTACAGTGCTTGGCGCCATAGGGGTGATCTAGGACCGAATCTGCCAAGACTCTGGAAAAGCCCCTTGCAGTACTTCCATCGAAGCTTACACCTTGCAGGTGCCAACAGATGCCAATGATTGGGTGCACTTTTCTACGATGTCATGGGGAGGATGAAGATTGCCAAGATGTGGTTCCTGCACCCTGAACATGCCCATACTGAATTGAAGAATACACAATGCTTGGTGCGCATCACAACTCAAACACCAACAGATTGAGAAAATCATGTGCTGATTTGCCAAGATTTATAGCGTGAAGTCTATTTAAAACATGTCGTGGATTTAGCCACGTCAGCCCCAAAGATCCCCGAAGTTTTGCAGTTTCAAAATGGCCATGCCTCGCACTTAGTCACTCGGCCTGCATTTTTAAGGAAACGACATCATTGAAATGATTCAACTGTCAATGATCGTTTCTGGGGATGATTTTTTCCAACAAAACAATCTCATTTCCATCATTTAACCATCATTCCCCATCCATTTTCCCATTTTCAACTGTCATTTCTGGCTTTGTCTCTTCGTGGCTAAAACCGGACCCTCGCGGCGGCACCTGCATCCCTGTGAGGTTTGGAAGGGCCGGCAGGCATCGCCTGTACCGGCCAAGGCGCCTATCTCAGGATGGCACACGGTACCATATAACAACTGGCCATCTGGTGAAACGAACATTTTTTTTAATGGAAATCGCCACTTTTACTAGATATATATATATATGTATGGTAAATGACAAATGGGCCATTTTCAATTGCTATATGTTGAATTACCGGAGTTTTTGTAAAAGCAACAAGCATCTACGTTCAAACATACCCGGTAATCAACCATGGCGGGCTGCTGGGAAATCATCAAAATTCGCCCTGTCTGATTGCAGACCATCCAGGGCCAAACAGGTCCGTCTCCCTCCAAAATGACTCCAAGATGAAGCTTTCGCTGATCTTTCGCTGAATTCTAGTTTGGTCCAAGTGAACTACGCAAAACATCTCCAAAACCTGGGTTTTACATAAAAACTCAATTCATTTCAGGTATCTACGAAATACCATATTTCATTATAAATCATACAAGGTGGTGCTCTCCAGTCATGTTTCTTGGTTTATAACCTCATGTAACCACCACAACAAATCATATCATATGAATATTTAGCATAAACCATCATAAAGCATAGTTTGATATATCAAACTAGTCCAACAATGGCACTTCAACATTCAGCAAGGTTGATTCTCCCGTTAAAAACCTCCACGTTGTTGCGCCTAGCAAGCGCCACTTGCCCTCATGGCATGCTGCCAAAGGCTGACCCTCCAGGCCCACGCCACAACGCAGTGGGACCAGATCCGCCTGGACCCAGGGGGATAACGAAGGCGGCCAGGGAAATCAGAAAAATCAACGAAAAAAAAAATCAGGAGCCGAATTTTCAGGCTAGAAATTGCTAAGTTCAGTTGTATCGTGTCTCATTCAGGTCAACTTTTGAGGGAGTTTTTTGTACAGGAATGTACAGTATATCATCTAATACACACCACTTTCAGGCCCAACTTGGGTAGGGGCAACTTTTGACTGATTCTTTGTGTAGCGCGCAGCTGCACACAAATGGCATCCAAATCCATCCCGACGTCAAGACTTCATCGTAGCATCTTTCGGAAAATCCAAATCAGTTTGTTGGTTTACATCCCTTTCATACCCCTGATATCCATGTTTTCCGCATGTTTGCTGCTCAAATCCATCATGATCAACAACCCTTATGGCATCGCCGGTGTGCGAAGCTCTATAATATACATTAATATAATATGTGATATATATTAATCATTCAAACGATTTCAGTCACAACCATGGCAAATCATATTATATCCCCCCATGTTTCCCATGAATATTCCGTCATATCAAAACTAGTCCAATCTTTAGCCCACGTATATCAACTTTTTATATCTAAATCTGGTTGGTGGTTTGAACCCCTCTGAAAAGTATTAGCCAGTTGGGGTTACTATTCCCAATATATGGAAAAATAAAAATGTTCCAAACCACCAACCATATATATATATATATAATATAAATATAAATATAAATATAAATAAATATATATATATATATTACTTGTTGTATCTAAATATTCTATATTTTATATCCGCATTCTGTGTTCTAATACCACCATTCTTCCTCAGGTGTCACCTGCCCAGTTCCTGTGAGATCCAGGTTCTCGGAAGAATTCATGTGAAGCTCGTCCTGGAGATCTCTGGGAGATCTCTGGGGATCTCTGGGAGATCTCTGGCCCCTTGGGAATCTCTGGGGTGGAGATATTTCATGATATTTCAGCATCAAAATTGAGGAGAATCATCAGTAAATGGGGATCTCATGGGAAGCCACTGGGATAAATCACCCAATAAATCACTAATAACTGGTTGGTGGTTTTAACCATCTTGAATAAATATGACAGTCAATGGGAAGGATTTTCCCATATATGAAATGGAAAAAAACAGTTCCAAACCACCAACCAGATAATCTGAGTCTGAGTCGTTGGGGTGTGTATGGGGTGGTACTCCTCCAATTTATGCTCATTTTGATCAGGAACATGATAATCAACCCATGGATTTAGGGCACCCTGTTTTCACACCAAACCTGAACAAATGGTTTGAGGGTTGTTAACCAACCAATATTGAATTTTTATTCAACGAAAAGGGCAGATAAATCAATCATCATTGGGCTTACAGTACATATATACACTGTTTTATCTAAACCCCCAACATTTTTAGGCACGCCAAAACAGAGTACCACAATTTTCACCTTCTTCAATAGGAATCTCCACTCAAACCACACAATCGGTCTACCACATCACCCTATCCTACAAACCTAAATAGTCAAAATCCAAAAGTTTGGAACGGGAATTGTCGAAAAACCTGGTCCTAAAACCTGGGATCTACATCGAAACTCGGAAAAAAAAAGGTGGCGACCCCCAGCTAGCAGTTGGTTTATAACATTTTATAACTATCATTAATTGTAGATACCCTTGGGTAATCCATGGCAATGCCATTTAAAAAGATCTTTGTCGCATCAAAAGCTCCATTTAGTTCGGGGATTCTAACGGCTAGCCACATGTGATATATGTACCATAAAGCTATCCATTAGCCTAAAAACCAACTGGTTGGTGGTTTCAAACCCTCTGAAAAATATGAGTTCGTCAGTTGGGGTTATTATTCCCAATAGATGGAAAAATAAAAAATGTTCCAAACCACCAACCAGCCAAGAGATGCCAACCCCCTCACCTTCCAGGATGCGCCAAACTCCCTCTGCAGAAAACTCTGCAGATCGGTGCAGCGCAGCTTGCAGCCGCCTTCAACACCTCGCAGCTTGGAACTGGGAGACTCAGCCTATGTTAGAATGACATTTCACTAGTGAAGTACCCTTTGGTAATCAAACATGGCTAGCTGGAAAATCACCTAAAAACATAGGGGTTAGTGGGGAATCCATTTATAAATTACAGATGTTCCATTGCCCGGTTTAACTACAGGAGGGTATATGGTACAATGCATAGAGTGGGCAATGAATCCAACAACCAAATCGAAGTTCATGGACGAGATTCAGACCACAGAATACGATAGCCGAGGCATGGCAAGAAATTTTCACAAATTGCCTTGCAGAACGGTTGAGTATAATCAATTTCTTACTGGCGCTTAGTAGGGAATGGATGGGAATGGAGGGAATGGGATGATTATTGATAGTTATTATTGTGGATCATTCCCGAAAATTCCCTGCTAAGCACCAGTAAGATTTACTCCTTCATCAATGCATTGACATCATGTGGCGCATCACATTGCAGAGCATTAAATGATATCAGTACATTGCACTCCAAAAAACCACAAAAACGAACAACAGGAAACAACACGCCAAACATACCAGAAGAAATCGTGATTCATAGCATCCCAGAAAATATCAACACACTTTTTCATGAGGCCTCTGTATGATCCAAATCTATAGTATAATCTAGTGGTAAATGGCCATTTCGGGGACCTTTTTTTTCCCCATTTTCGGACAGCCCCATATGGGGGCAAGATCACAAGCGTGAGATCTATATAATGGGTCCCAGCTCAAAGGTGGTCAATTCTCGAACTAAGTGGTACTGGATTTCAATGGGCCCATAAGAAACTGTTAAGTTACTGGTAAGTTGATAAGTTTATCCAGAAAACATCATATTAAGTTGGTGATATCTCCCAAAATTATCCCATTACATGTACCTATTACCTATAATATATATGTACAGTATATATATAGTATATTTTCTTAAATCCCATTACACCCATATAAACCCATCAATCCCATGTTGGCACCATGTAAATGGGATGATTTACGCTTGTCTGGACATAGTCTACCCCTCCCATTCCATCCACTGGATTGTTATCATAATATCATCGTTTTTTTCTAAGGAAAATAATCATTGCCATCTACTATTACTAATTACATACTGTTTGTTTCCAGTTTACTCTTATTACCCTTATCATTATGATTTACATTATCGTTATTCTTGTCCACCCACTGGATTATCATCATGTTCTCTATTAGAAATAGTTATTGATAAAAAATGTTTTTGATGTAATTAATATGATTCATGTTTCCCGATTATCATCATAATATTGATATGCATATCATTCTTACTACTACTATTATCATCTATTATCCATTAGTATTGTTACTATTATCTATTACAGTATCATATATTGTTATATATCATCCATCCAGTGGAGGTTTTTAAACATCCTCTGAGTTTCCGAAGTCGTGCCGTTGAACCCTAAAGCGCCGAGCAGCTGTACTTGCCATCCTCCCTGCAGGTGGCCACGAGCGTACCTGCCGTGGTACGAAATCCCCAAAAAACTACAGATTCAATCAGATTCAGAGTTGAAAAATGCTTTTACAAATGATTTTGACATCATTTCTCCAGATATTTCAATCAAATACTGAGGCTGATCAGGAAAAGCGAGCCATGTTCAACCGCCAAAACTTGCTGGATACATGCGGATTCCACTAACACAGTTACATGATGTCAAATATTGATTAAATGTGGTTGAATCCACATGGTTCATAACCACATAAATTATCATAAAATTATATCGTCAACACATGGCTTTAAGCAAACATGTGGATTTCAGAGAAACAGACTAAAACAAAGTAGGTAACAAAACTGGGGAGTATCAGGGCTGATATGGTGCTTCCAAACAACAACAACAACAACAACGACGACGACGACAACAACAACAACAACGACGACGACGACAACAACAACAACGACGACGACGACGACCACAACAACAACAACAACAAAATAAAGAAGAAAACTGTCACTGAAGACACTTGGGATTACTTCAGGGATTGCCCCCAGGGCCGCGAACTAGTTTCACCTGTAATGTCCTGTAATCTATATAAGCTGGCAATGGTCTCCGACGTCAATGAGTTGCAAATGGAGAAAAACATCACGAGAAACTATATAAACTGTTGAATGCGCGCATACCCAAAGGGCAACCTGGGGGATTCAACAGCTGGGGATCATCCTCATATCCCCCATCAGAGCAGTTAGGGCACCAGGATTGATTTGTTCACCATCACACTCCACAACAGAAAACCAATGTTAGATACCTACAAATCCGCTTTGCCAAAAAGTACCCATATCCCATGCCATAGTGCTTTGTCCATCTGTATGCTGAGAAAAGGGTGTGTAATGATCCACAATAAACCATCATCTAATTATCTAATTTTCTATACACAAGCCCCTACAACAAAAACTCAACAGAGGTACTGTGAATTGAGGAAATCCTGCACCATTTGCTAGCTATATATATATATACTACAGCGGAAACTGTGAAACACTGTAAATAAAGCAAAATTGTTATAATGGGATAGACATGGATAAAGCATCTACTACCAGATCTACCAACTGATACAGGATTTCGCAACTATCCCAAGCCCCTCATTGCCTCCGTATCCTGGGCTACATTGGTAGGTGACACGAAGACCTTCGAAGAAACCTCGGCCCGCAGTTCCGCATTTTTTCAAGCGCCGGAAACAAAAATACCAACAAACATCAACGAACTATATTGGAACGTACGTTTTTTCTATTGGTCTTGACCATGTTTGCTTATTCGAAATTAGGGTTCACTCTAGTTCCTGCACGTTTTTCATAAATACAATTCTCGAACAAACAATGGTCTTGATAATATCGTGATTTTATCCATGTTTATGAACCAGACCTCCTTGGTTTCCCCTGTATCGTAAAACTCACTGCTTTTGCCGTTTCCGCTTGACAGAATCCTATATCCTGAAATGAAACAATGAAACACTTCCAGAATGATTAGTGTCACAAAGAAAACACGATTGTGGATAAACAAATCCAGTTGTTGAGCTAAAAGTCAGCAAAACCTTAGGTTCAGGGGTCAGTTCATGTGCATGCAAAACTGCTGTCAGGATTCTTTGTTGATGACCACGATGAAAGGTTTAACTGCTGAAAAATGATCTTAGTCATTGTTGGAACCAAAATTGTGGCAACGGTTCACCCGAAAACGATCATCATATTGTGGCAACCGTTTCGAGCATCCAGACAGTCATCACGCAAAAATCTGGTGGAAAAGAACGGGCATTGGTTTCCGGCCGCAATGGCAAGCGCCCTTGCAGGAAAAAAAGTGACTATCACCATATCAAATCGTGAATTATGAAATTAATGTACCTGGCAAATTCGTGATGAACCCTGCCAATAAGAGCCCATTTCGTAGGATTGACCCCAAACATAAATGGTGTGTAACTAACCATGCTTGTTGACCAGTTCTTTATCTCCATGTTTGTCCCTCACAAGCCGTACAATTGGATACTCCTACAGGTCCTCCATCCACTGCTTAACCATCATTTTCCCCGGAACATTTTTTCCTGTATGTAGCCGTTATAACCCCACTTTCAAACGCAACCTAAGGAGTGCCACATATCAATTTGTGGGTGATCTGTCTCCTTATCTTACTTTCCCATGAAATATATGATCCTTTTAAACCTAGCATCCCTCAACATTTTCATGGGAAAAGGATATATCAACATGGTTTAACATGTTTTTCAAACACTATTGGTGTTTTTCCCATATCCCATGGTTTCAATCCCCAAAAAAACACTCATCGAACATCCGGCAGACGTGGCACCTGTCTGCGCCAAGCTGTTGTTGTACACAGCGATGCTGTTGGGCAGCGCCGGCGGCGTCGTGCAGCGCCGCACGCATCGGCCCTGGAGTTGGAAGGAACCGTCGTCCTGGGAGAAGAGGCTGTTGGTTCCCAATAAACAAAGAGGTCGTTTGACTAGCAAAAAATAACAAACAAAAGTTGTCACAAAAAACACCTGGGAACTAGTAATTGATTTATGTTGGCTACGTTGGTTTACAACTGACATATCTATACATATCTAGGTCTAAAGCGTATGGTACAAGTAGATATAGCTAAAGTTCATGGTGTACAGTAAAAACACAATTTCTGACTTGGGGGCACCGCCTTCTACATATTCAAATAAAACCAATAGTCATAGTGAATACCAAACAAGGCGCTGTAGGAATGGTTGTAACGCTCACACGCACATACATCTATCTGTCTACCTATCTGTCTATCTATCTATCTATCTATCTATCCACCCGTCCATCTGTAAATAAAACGGCGTTTTTGCACCCACAAAAACATACTGGTTGAATTTACAGAAAACGCATGCCTGAAATGACAGGGCCCTGTTCCCAATTTTCAACGGACGGGGTGGTGCGGCGGTTCCTTTCCCTTTCTCTCTTTCTTTCCCTTCCTTTCCCTTCCTTTCCCTTGCACCCACACCGTCCGCACACCACCGTTCAAATCAGCTCGCTCCCCCACGCGGTTAAACAACTAAACGAGAACCCAAGCATCGAAGATGCTTTTGGGAAAAATATCAGGCAAGAACACAAGTAATCTTGCAAACAAAATTACAGTATGTCCAAACATGTCCAAACATATTTGAATAGCATTCTTGTTAATTTGATGGTAAACTTGGTAAACCCAACTGTTGATTACAGTAATTCCTTGTAATTCTATAATTATGTTTCATGTTCTAGTGATATTGTGGGGAAATGCCAAACCCACAGCCACTAGTCGAAACGCAACCGTCCTGTCCATTCATTTTGCGATACTCTCCAGCAATCAACCGTGGCTAGCTATAAATGAAAGTTCAAATATGAAAGCCATCTATAAATGGTGGATGTTCTACTGCTACGTTTGATTATCGGAGGGTGATCCGTCCCTTTCCAAAGCACAGAAGATCAGAATCACAAGGGGCGGACACATCTTGGAATATCTTGAAATATTATGTATATATGCATGTATACATATATATGAAATCATATGAATATATTGCAATCTTCTTCCAAATGTTTGCCATATTTTGATCTTAACATGAAGTCTGTTGGACACTACGCAAATGATCCTGAAAGGAGAAACACAATGGCTGGTACTTTGGGTATGACCAATGAGATGTCCCAATCATTATGGACCCAGCTTCGCGGTCAAAAGTTAAGACCAGAAAAGCCCAGAGATGTTCAAAAAACTCAATTCGTTCCAAGGCACTTACCATTCGTTTAATAAACAAAAACAATATCAATGGACCATGGTATTAGTGTGAAAGATGATAAAACACCATATATATAATAGTATAATATAATATATATATATTATATATATTATATATATATATTATATATATTATATTATATATAAATAAATCCTCATATAATCCCCATGAATCCCCGCAAATCCGTGAGTCCTCGCAGGTAGCTGTGATCGTGCCTCCGGAGATCATCTGGTGGTGTTTACTGTACAGTTTCCTATGGTTCCTGTTGCTGCACTGTTCAGGGGTCACGCCTCGCATTCTGTCGCTGTTTATGGCTGTTTTGTCGCTGTTTATAGCTGGGATTTATGGATGTGAATAACCCACTAAAAATGGTATTAATAGGTATTGATCCATACCCAAGTAAGTTCACTTCATGGCTGCAATCCATTCAGCCCAGTTTACCTATGTTGACCTTCCACTACCATCACCTCTTCCCGCCTGTGAAAGGCTCTTCGCACTGATAGCGCAAAGACGTCCCCGCTTGCCACGTGCGATTTTCCAACTCATGGGGCTCCTGCAGCGGTCGTGGGTTTGATGGTTTGGGTGTAAATATGTGGTCACCACGATACTTTGATATATGGTGTGGCCTGAAAATAGGATGCCCCTAAATCCAGTGGTCAAGCAGCATTTTCCCTGCAAAAATGGCTATTTGGGGGGTATATATGATTTTTAGATAGACCTATAATTTATAATCCTATATAACATGTCTAACCTATACCAGCATACCCTGTGCCTCTGGTGTTTGTTGCATCTGGTGTTTGTTGCTGTTTGAAATGTCAGACTTTGAAGCATACCCATATACCCAGTATTTACAAACCACCAACATCCAATGAATAGTAGTGATCATGCACGGGCACCAAACACACACTTGCGATTTTTGTTTCTTGCTTCACACATTTAGTCACTTAGTCAAATCTCACAAAATCAGCATTGTTCAAGCTGCTCAGCCATCCCATCATCTGCATAAATTCGATACATTCACCAACTGCCAGTGGGGGATACTATCTTTGACAGCTACGTCGCGGTGAGGTCGTTATATATAATCTACCCATATCTACACAGCAATACATCTTGTCTAGGTTTGTCTCCGGGAAGCTGCGCATGGGCGGCGCTGCGGCCGGGCTTGTGATGGCTTCGAACCATCTGGAGAATGCTGATCTCCTCCATATTTGTGAGCATCGGACCATTGTGCTCTTGCCGCTTGGTGCCACTGCCACAAGCCAATATCTTTGTGCATCAGTTGCTGCATGTCACCAACACAAGCAAACGCACAAACGCAGGAATCAGCATGGGCTCCTGCACGGACTTGTCCAAGGTTGCAATATCCGAAAACAACAATGGCACAATCTCTGACCCAGCAATGATTTTTGGTTTGCTTGCAAGATTTAGTGGGTTTTTCTGAATGAACACCAAATCTCGAAAATAGAGTATTTGTAAATCCAACTTGCTAATCTGCTAATCATGATTTGAGACGGTCATTTGGGGTATCCCCAGTTCTTGGACAAACTAAATATCCATCTTGTTCTGTAATCCTACACTAGTACATTTCATATGTTATATCCTTATTGACATCCCCTAATATCCCCCCATTGATATCCACATCTCCCCATTAATTACCAATGCTGAGACACACACACATACAGCAAATTTTTATTACGGCGGTCATATGTATATATATATATGTATGTATATATATAATGTATATATATACACATGTATATATATGTCCAGATATCATATAAAATTATATATATATTCAATTCGTCCTTATACCCCCATATTTACCCCATAATATGCCTCTTAGATCCTCATTACATCCCCAGTATGAGCATGGCTGGAGAACCGACTATTTGTCGATCGTTTTCCGAACGGGAAACCATATTATGTTGTCCGCTATACCGTTCATTAAGTGCTATCCATACACATCCCATACACTGCTAACCATGATTAGCATTAAATGGCATGAATGTTAACAAACCGTTATCAACCATTATTAGCCACTATCAAACATGGTTGTTAACCATGACTAAGCCGGGATGATTAACTTGAACTAACTAGCATTTTCCCTTAACCCCGGATCCCCATGTGCCACCATCCGTCCAGAAGAGGTTTGGCGCGCGGCACCAGGGGCGGATTTGGACACACCACCTGAGAGGAGCAGAAACCAAAAGAATTTTTGGGTAATAAAAATATTTAATCCATATATATATATATCAGTACAATATAAGAAATACGAACCATTTAGCGTGGTTCAATATTGTACTGTTATCCTTAACTAATGTTGCTTATCCTTAACCAAAAACAATATTTAATACAAATTTGCAGTACATTAGTTAAGGATAATAGTAGCATATTGAAGCATATTAGCAACACACTACCAATTGTTAGAATGCTGATCACTCTATTTAATCCAAACGGAAGTGATTTAGATAATCAACAGATATATTGGGGATTAGTGATGGTAGTATTGGCAATGGCTTATCATAATCCCCAATACTTACATTTATTGGGTTAGTAGTGCTTGGTAATCAACAAACATATTCATATTATGGCTTATCTTAATCCTCAATAAGCCAGTTGTATAGTATCCACCCCTGTATAAACAAAACCCTGTAATGTGGTAAAGCCAGTAATAAACCATCCCCAAGTCGTCACCATTTTTATGGGTGGGATTGAAACAACCCCAAAATGCTAGGTTTACAGTTAGGTTGTCATTATTGAGAAATCCACATTTCATGCATTTTGTACCAGTTCATCCATTAAATATGTATATATATATTATAATTCATTATATATATACTATTGTATTATATTATATATATATTATATTATATATTATATATTATATATATTATATTATATTATATTGTATTATAATATTTATATATTATATTATATATTATATTATATTATATTATATATTATATTATATATTATATATTATATTATATTATATATTATATTATATTATATATTATATTATATTATATTATATTATATTATATATTATATATATATATTATATTGCCTTTTCCCTGTTCCTCTTATCTAACAATCACTACACAGTGAATAAGCATAACAAGTTCAGTCATTTTGGGATTGTTTTAACCATCATTTCTACTGACGTTGCGTTGAAGGCTTTCAATTTCATCCAGATTGAACACAATTGCCATGACAACTGGTTCAGAATCCCTGTATAACCCTTCCGATAAATGAATTCAGATGTGAAAAGCAATGATAATTTCTCAAGGAAAATTATGTACTTACGAATGCGCGGTTTTCAAGATCAATGTTTATTTTCTGGAACGCATATTTTTGTATTTTTCAGCATTGTATTTTAGCTGGATTTTTGCATGTGGTTCTTACCCGGTAGCTTGGATGCACACACATGCTTTTGTCCCAGGATAATCCACTGGCTGTGTATCGTGATGGACTGACTCCTGCTGATGCTTTGACATTACTCATTTCGGTCCATGGCAAGTTTCGGCAGGAACATCGGTAAGTACAACGCCGTGATATCAGGTGATATCAATGAGCAACTTCTCTGGTGTAGCTGGGTGCTGCACACATTATGGCATTATCTTTTATAGATTGATGAGATACAGTACCATTGCAGGACAAGATATTCTGGTTGGTGGTTTCAACCCCTCTGAAAAATATGAGTTCGTCTCAGTTGGGATGATGACATTCCCGATATATGGAAAAAAATGTCCCAAACCACCATACAGTACTAAGATTCATGTTTGATTGCTTTTTCAAGATCCATCAGAAATTGTGCTGGCATCGCTTGAGGCGACCTGCGACATAACCTGTCCAAATGACGCTGGATCACTGAGGTTTCGAAGGAAACTATCCACCCAGAAATCCAAAAACTAAGAATCATTATATGTCATTTCCATCCACAATGGATATGTTATCCCAAAACTCATACCCTCTGGTAAATTAACATAACTATGGAAAATCACCATTTTTAATGGGAAAATCCACTATAAATGGTCATTTTCAATAGCTATGTTAGTTTACCAGAGGGTAATCCCAATGGATACCTTTTCCAGTTCAACGCTTTATGGTTTTTCCACGACATTCCCATCCGAAAGGCACCTCAGTGCATTCCCCTTTGAGACGCCAAACGCCATCCTGGCGGAGTCGCCCTTTAGTGACTCTGTCTGAGTGCAGGGAATGTCATGTCTAGCCGCACCTGCCAAACTGTGAATGATCGTTATATATACCCTCTGGTAAACTAACATAACTATGGAAATTCACCATTTTCAATGGGAAAATCCACTATAAATGGTCATTTTCAATAGCTACGTTAAATTACCAGAGGGTATATATATATATATATCATAAAATTGTGATCCAATTGGTCTAAAATCCTGGCAAACATACGAATAAAAATCCAATAAAATTCCAAAAACGAAGTCAATGTACTGTCTGGTATAACTGGAGCTTAAGTTCAAGGAGTGACATAGCAACATGCACAAAGTGGGTGCACAAGACACAGATGGTCCCAGCCTTGCCGCAGATGCCCCGAATACGGCCGATGTAGCCCCGAACGCACTCGTAGCTGATCTCCTTCCACGGATTGTTCTTGGGGGGTTCTTGGATCCTGTGGAAATGAATGGAACATGTGTTTGATAGGCTCATGAGATCTCATGAGTATATATATATATGTATACACATACGATATATATATATCAGAATATACCAGGGATAGATGTTGATGACCATTGATTATAGATATTGAATTATTGAATGTTATTGATGGATGAATTTGCAAACTGATCGCACCATGTTAATTAGTTAGTATATGTTAGTATGATTCGAATGGTTACTACTAGCTTTGATTTCAACTTAGAAGGCTTGAGCTCTTCGAATCGCCGACACTAGCAGAAACAAAGCACACATATGAAACTAAGGTTTGTGCTGTTGGTATCCCCCAGGGTCTCTTCGTTTATCTTTGTTTGCACTTAGGGTGTATGAACTCCACATTCAAAATGCATCAACATGCGATAATTGTTTCCATGCGTTGGGGCTGGCCCAGTCTGTTGCTGCTTTTTCATTAATCCGTCATCGCTGCCAAAACCATGTCACAGCCACATACCTTTTCTTGACATTCAACATATTCAAAATCCAGAAATACTTCAGTGATTATTTCAGACATGTCCGATTCATCGAAGTCCTCAATCCCAAAAAACTTGGTTTCTCCATGAACTTCACAGCTTGGTCTCCATATCGCTGGTCCATCGGCGAATTTGGCCAAACTCGTGCAGCCGCGCGTGGCCCACTTCCTGGCGGATCGGGGGCGCCGCAAAAGGTCCAAAACGGCGATTGGAAATTGGAAAAATCATGAACGATATAATGACAGATGTACATAAGTTAGAAAAATGGGGGGAGAAGAAGAGTTAATTAAGAGACCCTTACTCTGTGACATATTGTGTCATCAGGATGGTGAGGGCTTTGTCATTCCTGTTCCTGGGATCATCAAAATATGTCCCGGGTCCAAAAACCAGGGGGTGACTTACCCCGGCAGCTAAGCAGTTTGCTAGGGAAAATCACTATTTTTAATAGCTAAATCAATGTGAATAATCAAACTCACTAAACCATCCATACCATACAGTAGCAAACCATTCATTGCCAGCGGGTACCCTACACTACCAACCATCTCAGCTATCCGTCGCCACTGGCTTGGCTATGCTTGGCTCCTCTTTAGGCTGGCCGCAGCGAATCCGCGTGCACTCGCCCTTGTAGGTGTAGGAACCTCTGAGGGAAACAAAACTGACATAAATTGACCACTTCCTAATATCTTCGATCCGCACTTTAGAAATCGATTCCCAGTAGCATTTAATGATCATCAATGGTTTCGTTTGAGAACATGGCCGCTTCACATCTCAAGGTTGATCATCAATTTCCCACCACAAAAAATGCATTGTTTGATGGTCCACTTTGGTAAAATAACATACTCTGAGGATGGCCACAGCAGGATAAAACAGCTTTCCTTATTTTTCCTCATATATTTCCATATATGTCCTCTATGTTTCCATCACCTTTTGCCAGCTAACCACTATTTCAGCAGCATTTCAGTCGTGATCTTTAATCCATCAATCCTGCACAAAACGGCCAGCCAAAAAACAGGTGATGGCCTGGGAGAGTTAAACAATGATGACCCGAATTAGTGTCTCTTTAATAAGTCCAGCACTTAGCTACTTAGCTATTTCTAAACGAGTCATGGCTAAACTGATTGCGGATTTTTAGCCAATAACTCCCTAATATGAACATTAGAATTCGACCTGATCAAACCCGTCGTATATCCATGATTCACCAATTATCTTGTTCACCCTCTGGCAATCAAACGTGGCTTGCTGGGGAAGTTCTACCGCTTCCATTTAGTTCGGGAATTTCCCATTGCCAGTCATGTTTGATGACATGGGAGGCTTATAGCTATCAGCTATCCATAGCTAAAATACGCCAAAATGACATCTATTGACATCTATTTCATTTAAAACCATTATAAACCATTATTAACAAGCCTTAATCATGATTAAACCGTGATAAAATAATATATATAGTATATATATATATTGATGATATATCACATCTATTATAATTCAAATATATAACAATATCTATATGTTGTATAAACCTCAAAAAAACAATCATGTGCTCCATTATTAAAAAAACAAAGATCAACCCGGGGTATCTTCGCCTGTTGGTGAACATCGCAACTGTGCTGAACCAACAAAGCCCGCGGCGCAGTCGAGGTCCTGCAAAGGAGGAAAGCGAAGTCGGCGAAGGCATGGTTGAACCGTGGCGTCTCTCGAATGTATCTATATCTATGCATTTAAAACAATATACATATAATCTTATAGCAATACCATTACATTACATTACATTTCATTACATTTCATTTCATTACAATTTCATTACATACATATACTATCATATATTGAACATGAAACCGTATATTTATTTGATAGATTATAATAGATCTAATAGTATACATATTTAAGGATCTTATTTGGATGTTCTATAAACCATGTCAGTCTCCGGGCAACATTCCAGGTGACCTTGGTTGAAAAAGTCCGGGTCTTTGTGGGAGTGTGCTTTTTGGTAAGTTTTATGTATTGAATAATGTAGAACATGATTCACTTCAAACATCCGTTTCTGTCTGTCTTAGTTTTGAGGTTTAGCAGTTGTAGAGCTATATATATATATGTATTGTGGAAGATCTTGTGGCTTCAAGTCTTGTGTGTATACGGTACATATCCAAGTTTGCACATCAGGCAACAATAAACTACAAGGACCTGAAAGCAAACCCGTCAATCAGCTGGGAAAATTCAGTTTGGTAGAAATATGATGAAATATGCTGCAATACAGCCGTTTTTGCTATGAAATATTGAATTGAGCCCATGAATATCAAAGAGAAATGGAACTCAATTTTGACCGGTTGCGCCACGCTCAAACGCTAGGGTGGTGTTTGCTTCTATGCTGCATGTCTTTATAGCAAGCATGAACAAGAGGAAACAGCACCTTTGATTGAAAGGAGATTTCATTTTGGCCCCAAGCAGTAGTGCATCTTCCTGACAGAATTCCCTGCATCATAGAGAGATATGGAACGTTTTGTAAGGATAAGCATGCTGTTCTCTTAAAGGGCAACACATTTTAAAACATAGTATCAAGTCAGATTTTAAGGGCAACAGCATGCTTCTCATAAGTCATCATTTAAAAGAATGTGGCAGTCCTTGAGGGAGTCGTGACATAAACCATTCAACATTCTGCAACAGAGAGGGCAACATTCCTCTGACAAAGTGTATCATTCCTTTTTTCCAGAGTGCGGCATTCCTTTGAGAAAGTACTTGATTACTTCATTAAATATCAACTTGAACAATGGTGTTATGCAATCTTCCTTTCAAAAATAAACAGCATTCATTTGGAACAAATATAGCATCATGTTAAAATAAGGCAATTCACTTTATGATATTATATTGAAATATGATAATTAGTATACATGTATACACAGTGTTCTTTTCAATTGAGAAAGTAGTCTTCAAGACACATAGCAGTCCTTGTGAAAGAGTATGGCATTGTGTAAGTTCGCGTACTAAAAGGAACCCTTATATATATACATATATATATACAGTATGTATGATGTATATAGCAATACCTTTGAAAGGGGGTGATGTTTCTGCACGAAAGTGCAGTATGACTCCATGGATTTGTCCTTTGAACACACATAACATTTCTTGCAGAAAGTCGAACATTATTTTGAAAGAGTATTTATTCTTCAATAAGCAGTTGCACTCTAAGAGACCATGGTATTCCTCGAGGACAGTGCAGCATGCCTTTATGCAAGTTTCTTTGAAACAAATGCGATATTTGTTTATTCCGTTAAAAACAGGGTGGCGCTCCTTGATTAGAAAAAATATACAAAACCTCCAGAAAATAAAAAAATAAGGCATCCCCTTTTTCGACAATCAAACCTCCAGAACATAGAAAATAAGGCATCCCCTTTTTCGACAATCAAACATCAGGCTTCCCACAAAAGAACATCGAGAAAACCAACACATTTCGCCCTCCAAAGAGCTCGGACAAGGTTTGATCAATTCGACTGGGAGTTCTATGTGATTTTAATCAATTTGACGACGGGATATATTGAGTACACTCCCATTAATATTTTAATCAATTCACAGTGTTTAAATCAGTTTACACCAAAATCTCATTTTTCAAGATGAAACTAATACTCTGGTCAAATTGTAAAAGTGCCCTTGGGAGTGCAGTAAAACCTCTCAAACTAGCATCTTAAATCATGTGACAAGTGCACTCCGAGGAGGATCCGTTTTGAAAAAGCGACATCTTTTATATAGATTATAGTTCGTAACAATGCACCAGTTTGTTTTTGAGCCATTTTTAGTGGCTTCACCCAGCCAGCATGGTCATTCTTGGTAGCCGTGGTCAGGGTCCCCAAGATCTCCAGGGTCCTCAGCAGATGCTGAGTATAATATTCATTAATATGATTATTAATATACATTATATCATTTAATATCAATACCGTCAATACCCATTAATAATACTATATATTCTGCTGATTTGATACCCATTCAACATGATTCAATCATTTCCATTCATTTCTGGGCTTGTCTCTGTTCTTGATCTTCCCAACACTCATTGGCACAATTGGAACACGCCTGGGCCCGGGGAGGTGGAAGCAAATGTGGGGTGCTAAATGGTCCCACTCCTTTTATTTACCAAAACAATTCAAAGCATTTGAAAAAGGACATCAATGGTCATATTTGATGGTAAATCTCCCCGTTCTTCTTGGTTTTATCAGGTGTTCTCTGACACCATTTGTCCAAACAAGTCAAACAATGGGGGCGAATACCACAGCCATCAAATAATGGGAGAATCATGATCTTAATCAATCTTAATCAATGGAATTGGGGGAGTTTTCCTTTATTTTTCTAATTTTTTTCAGGTACAAACAGACTACCCATTTCTGATGGTTCACCAGGTTCACCAGGTTTCCCAGGCTCCGTCTGCCCACAAAGCTGAAGCCAGGCACCCCCGATGTTGGGCATGCGATGCCTTGCCGTGGATAGCAGGGTCAAACTTTGTCAAACTGTTTGGTGGTTGGTAAGTGGCGATTTAGGGCTCAACATGGTCTCGGACCTTTGGTATCCCCATTCTGAATAGTTTTGAGCCATATCCTCTTGGGAATTTGAAGTGGTTGGAAAATGGTGCTCTGTCCAAGGCCGTGGCCAACTTGAATGGAACTTGGGGTACCCTATTTTGGCATAAACCACCGCAGGATCAAATGGATGGAAGGGAAACTTCATAGCCGCATTCATAGTCACATTTGCCCATGCAAGAGGAATATGTTTTCTTTGAAATCATCGCTATCGGGTGCTAGGGGGGCCACAAGATTGAAATTATGAAGCAGTTTTGCTTTTGCCAAAAAAAGTGGTCCAAGAAAAGTGGTTGGTGGTTTCACCCCTGACCCTAAAGACATAACTCATTGGGAATCACAATCACATCATTATATATATATGTTTGAATTTGAACATTAAAAAAAAAACATATTTGACACCATTGCCAATGTCGCGTAGTTTTGTTGAATTTGGGAGTTTATCCTATTGAAATTGCCAGGGGACCTTGCGGTAATCATCCATGATGTAAGGTGGCTTGTAGTAGCTCCCAAAATGACTAGAATATATAGTCCTAATTGCTATTTTTTTTGTAGGAATTGTGTGGTTTTATCTTTTTTTATTTTTTGGGTTGCTGTATTCTCAATAGAAAACCCCATGTTTCCAAACAAAATATGGCTATTTACAGGTCGATAATTCGAATCATCTTTTCATTCGGCGAATCTTGGATGCTTTACACAATATATCACAACCACCAATTGCCCGCTGCTGGATATCATTACAATATGTGATAAAAAAAAAATTAAACACCAGCTGTGGCAAACAAAGCAATGAAGAAAAAAGATCAGAATAGATATGGCAGTGTGTCAAAACCAATAGTACCCCTTCTGTTCACATCAAAATAGCTGGGTTAAAATGGATGTTCATCCCATTAAACATGGTATTTTCATAGGTATTGATCCATAGCCATATAGCAAATATAGCATCAAATTGCCATTCCTCCAAGTCACTTCTCGATGGTATCCTCAGCCAAAAGAAAGCACGGTGGCCCACTTGGAACAGGTAAACTCCATGGAACACTGACCAGAAACTGGATTCATATATAAATATATGTGTATGTTACCTGGGATATATTCATAGTATATATATATATACATGTTCGAAAATATACAAGTCCAGTGTGGATCCTTGTTTTAAATTGAATCCTTGCTTCAAATTGAAATGGACATGGTATGGAACTAATAACCAGCTAGTAGCTATTGTGATGGCGCAGCTGTGGGATATTTCTAGTTATAGTTAATAAACTTGCCGACCATGGTCCTCTACCATACGACATTGGATGGGGGCCCAGAACTAAACAGAACTGAGGTTGGCCCTTTGACTTCAATCCTTTCGCCCTTTCAGTATCTTGAATTCCCCCCATATGGCCCCCATAAGTGAAAAAATCCAAGTGATTCGCTACTATATGTCTTTCAATAAAAATCATGCTATACCAAGGTTTCTGAGGAGGGGTGTGTATGTGTGTCTGCATGTATGTATGTGTGTATGTATGTATATGTATGTATATGTATGTATATGTATGTATATGTATGTATATGTATGTATATGTATGTATATGTATGTATATGTATGTATATGTATGTATATGTATGTATATGTATGTTTATGTATGTATATGTATGTATATGTATGTATATGTATGTATATGTATGTATATGTATGTATATGTATGTATATGTATGTATATGTATGTATATGTATGTCTATGTATGTATATGTATGTATATGTATGTATGTATATGTATGTATATGTATGTATATGTATGTATATGTATGTATATGTATGTATATGTATGTATATGTATGTATATGTATGTATATGTATGTATATGTATGTATATGTATAATATGTATGTATATGTATGTATATGTATGTATATGTATGTATATGTATATGTATATGTAAATGTATATGTAAATGTAAATGTATATGTAAATGTAAATGTATATGTAAATGTAAATGTATATGTAAATGTAAATGTATATGTATATGTATCTGTATGTAAATGTAAATGTAAATGTAAATGTATATGTATATGTATATGTATATGCATATGTATATGTATGTGTGTATATGTATACGTATATATATGTATACGTATATGTATGTATATGTATATGTACATGTATGTGTATGTATGTGTATCTACGTGTATCTATGTGTATGTATGTGTATGTATGCGTATGTATGCGTATGTATGTGTATGTATGTGTCTGTATGTGTGTGTATGTGTATGTATGTGTATGTATGTGGATGTATGTGTATGTATATGTATATGTATGTGTAGGTATATGTATGTGTACGTATGTCTACGTATGTCTACGTATGTCTGTGTATGTATGTGTATGTATGTGTATGTATGTGCATGTATGTGCATGTATGTGTATGTATGTCTATGTATGTCTATGTATGTCTATGTTTGTCTATGTATGTCTATGTATGTATGTGTATGTATGTATATGTATGTGTATGTATGTATATGTATGTCTATGTATGTCTATGTATGTCTATGTTTGTCTATGTATGTCTATGTATGTATGTGTATGTATGTATACGTATGTATACGTATGTATACGTATGTATACGTATGTATACGTATGTATACGTATGTATACGTATGTATACGTATGTATATGTATGTATATGTATGTATATGCATGTATATGTATGTATATGTATGTATATGTATGTATATGTATGTAAATGTATGTATATGTATGCAAATGTATGTATATGTATGTATATGTATGTATATGTATGTAAATGTATGTATATGTATGTATATGTATGTATATGTATGTCTCTGTATGTCTCTGTATGTCTATGTATGTCTATGTATGTCTATGGAGGTCTATGTATGTGTATATATGTCTATGTATGTATATGTATGTAAATGTCTGTAAATGTATGTATATGTATGTATATGTATGTATATGCATGTATATGTATGTATATGTATGTATATGTATGTATATGTATGTAAATGTATGTATATGTATGCAAATGTATGTATATGTATGTATATGTATGTATATGTATGTATGTAAATGTATGTATATGTATGTATGTGTATGTATACGTATGTATACGTATGTATACGTATGTATACGTATGTATACGTATGTATATGTATGTATATGTATGTATATGTATGTATATGTATGTATATGTATGTAAATGTATGTATATGTATGTATATGCATGTATATGTATGTATATGTATGTATATGTATGTATATGTATGCAAATGTATGTATATGTATGTATATGTATGTATATGTATGTATATGTATGTATATGTATGTATGTGTATGTATACGTATGTATACGTATGTATACGTATGTATACGTATGTATACGTATGTATACGTATGTAAATGTCTGTAAATGTATGTATATGTATGTATATGTATGTATATGCATGTATATGTATGTATATGTATGTATATGTATGTATATGTATGTAAATGTATGTATATGTATGCAAATGTATGTATATGTATGTATATGTATGTATATGTATGTATGTAAATGTATGTATATGTATGTATGTGTATGTATACGTATGTATACGTATGTATACGTATGTATACGTATGTATACGTATGTATATGTATGTATATGTATGTATATGTATGTATATGTATGTATATGTATGTAAATGTATGTATATGTATGTATATGCATGTATATGTATGTATGTGTATATATGTCTATGTATGTATATGTATGTAAATGTCTGTAAATGTATGTATATGTATGTATATGTATGTATATGCATGTATATGTATGTATATGTATGTATATGTATGTATATGTATGTATATGTATGTATATGTATGTATGTAAATGTATGTATATGTATGTATGTGTATGTATGTAAATGTATGTATATGTATATGTGTATGTATATGTGTATGTATATGTGTATGTATATGTGTATGTATATGTGTATGTATATGTGTATGTATATGTATGTATATATGTATGTATATGTGTATGTATATATGTATGTATATGTACATGTATTTGTATATGTATATATGTATGTATGTATGTATATGTGTATGTGTATGTGTATGTATATGTATATGTAGGCTCGTCCAGGCTTCTGGAACTACCTAAACCTTGGGGTAAAGGGGTGGGGTGGGATGTTAACGTTCATGTGAACTTGCGGCAGCAGTTGATGCTACGCACACGCGGGGTGGGGGGGGTGGGGGGGGATGTTAACGTTCATGTGAACTTGCGGCAGGATGTTAAAGTTTATCTCCTTTTTGATGAATAATTGCCCCCCCTTGCAGCAGTTGATTGCTACGCACAACTGGGGTGTGGGGGGGGTGGGGGGGGATGTTAACGTTCATGTGAACTTGCGGCTCGATGTTAACATTCATGTGAACTTGCGGCAGCAGTTGATGATGATGTGATGATGATGATGATGATGATGATGATAATGACCCTAATGAAACTTGTTAATTCCGCGACGAAATTTCGTCACGGAATGGACAAGTTTTACCAACCTAATTCAGGTTTAGGTAGTTCCAGAAGCCTGCACGAGGCTATATGTACATGTATGTATTTATGTCTGTCTGTCTGTATGTATGTATGTCTGTATGTATGTATCTATCTATCTATCTATGTATCTATGTATCTATGTATGTATGCATGCATGAAAACATCAAATGGCATGAAGCAGTTCCACTTAGTAGTTTCAAGTCTCTTGATTTCGTGTCAGCCTATTGACTACATTGTACTTAGTGCATCTTGGTACCAATTTTGAAAAGCAAGGTATGCAGTATTCCCTGGAACCCTGGCGAACACCAAAGTCTGAAAATTGATACACAATCATTCCAGATCATTCACCCCAATCTGGTCTAATTGGCCCTGACTCTTAGACATGGCTTTACCTCACAACATCACAACTGACTTTACCTCATGGCATCTTGAAAAAGTGAGTTTTCAACCAGTCAGCTAGTTCCTTCCTACAAGGAAGTTGGATAATACACCCAATTCACTAGAGTTCTATTCACCATAAAGCCTGACTCCCAAACAGGGACCAAGTGGCTCGCGATAGCCCGGGCAGCACCTCGATACCCACCCCCCATCACAACCAAGAGGCATTCTGCATGTGGAAATGAAGGTCAGGGTGGTTGGCGATGTAGTGCCAAATGTCCCCATCCTTTCACAAAACACACATTCACCTGGCCCACCGGCCCCCCCATTCCGATCTTTTTGTGCATAGTGTTTGTCAGTTGGGAACTTTAGAACCCAATGATCTGAAATGGGAAGAAAGAAAAGTCACCGGCTCAGAATCTGTCAAGAATCCAGCAGGACAGTTCAGCTTCACATGCACTTTTTCTTGGCAAAAACAACTGGTCCTGACTCCTGACACAACAATTTTTTCGGTGGCTGGTTGGATGGTTGGTATTCAGCTCTAATTCCCTAAGGCCTTCATGGACTCCATGGAAAAACTCTCTCTTCATGGAAAAACTCTCCTTTTGAACCCCAAGTCGTCACAAAAACAAAAACACATTGATTAAAGTACCCTGTCCGTCACAGTTCCATGTCAGATGCTCCCCACCAAAAAAAATATCAGCAGGGTATGCAAACATTTATACAACAGAAATAGACCATGAAAATCCAGCACCCATTCAGATTCGGAATACCAACAACCTATATATTTCCGACACTATTTATCAGGCTGAATTCGAAATTATTCACTGACCATCACTCACTGAAAATAGCTGAAAGAAGACCATTTGGGGATAGTTACCCTTTACTCAGCATCATTCCAGTGACGTCATAGTGAGATCATTATAATTCAGCCAGATTTACACAGAAATAAGCCATGAACATCCAGCAACCCAATCAACTCAGATTCGCAAGACACAACCTAGAAACCATTTCCGACATTTCTCTGACATTTCCATGGGATTTTCAATCTCAACCCACTGCCGTCGTCTGTGGTCTCCTGCGTGCAGGTCTTGTTGAAGATGGGCGGCCGGGGCCCGGTGGAGGTGTTGCGCACGGGGAGAACAAAGACCACGAAACGATGGGCCAAGACACCTCGGAGCTGAAGGGGTCCCCGGAGGCCGCGCTGCTGGGCCGCGGTACTGTGGCATGGATGGGTTAAGAAACCATTGGAACCACAGTTTATTAACAATGGTGAAAACAATGGTGAAGATAACAACCAATGGAACTATGGGTTCAAACTATGGGAAAACAATCACACCATATCATGTGAAAACAACCATAGTTTGAAGATGTTTAAACTATGTTTTAGCACCTTGGAACATCCATGAATTGTAGATGTGACTTATCATTTATCAGAAACCATAGTTTGATATACCCTGCGGTTTGCTCAACCATGGCTTGCTGGAAATTTCAGAAACGATTCTTTGACAAAGCAGGAAACCTCCATTTTTTTCTCCGTGAATGGTGTATATTTACCTACATTTGGATGATTTTTAGAGTAAATGTTGGTAATTGTTCCATACATGGAGCATCTGAGTCACCATAGTTTTTTAATATATTTATATAAACTATGGTTTCATATGATTGTGTAATAGTTGATATCTTCCAAATTGTTGTATAGTATCATGACTGTGTCAATGAATCGTGGTCTTTTTCAAACAGAAACATGATTTATATGTATAAACGATATAATTAAATCATATAATATAAGTACTCCCATATGCTTCCATATGCTCCATGGTGCTGGACCGGGCACGTTTTTTTGTAGTTCTTGGAAACTGTTCCATACATGGAGCATATGGGAACGAAATAATAGGAACGTCAATGCACCCAACTATGGTAGGAATGTGCAAAATTGATTAGTATATACTGTATCATAATTATATCATCTATGCACCCATCAACCAACAAAAACATTATGGGTTTCAAGAAGCAAACAAAGGAGTTTGCCGGCGATGCAGAAACGAGGTTGAACCAGAACCATCAAGAACCTGGGGATATATCACCAAGAAATGTTGGGGATCATGTGAACATACCTTCTGAATTCCTCTGATAGTTACTAACTTGTCTAGTTCGGACATCCCACATCTTTCAGAAATTATCCATATAAATGATGATAAATGGATATATGATTTATATGACTGGATATATAACGGATCCATAAAGGTTGACACCTTTTCAAGAAAGAAATCATCTTTCACAGGGTGGATTTCCACATGTTTCCACTTCCTTGCAACAAATTCCGCCAGGGTAACCAGCCTGGTGAGTGGAAGCCACCCCCTTTGTAACCTCGAAACTGTGAACCAGTTATTGTTACAATCCATCTGAACATGGCCATGAATAGTCTATGAATCTTTATCTATGTCTCTATATCTATCTATCAATCAATCTATCAATCAATCTGACTATTTATCAATCTCTATATTTACATCATATACCTTATATATCTATATCTTTATAGGATGTTATAATATTATAGGGATGAAAAAAGGGAACGCATGAACATCCAGCCATGAAGCTCCGCTATAACTGAGCCTCAGGCAGCCAAGGACCCAATAGACCAAGTAGAAAAGACAGACCAACGCATTGTCCACCTATTTGGAGAATGGATACAAGAGGGTATAACCCTGGTGAACTAAACCCCAAAAGTTGGGATAAAACCCCTATAACTATGGTTACTCTATCCACTTGTAGCTGGCACTTCCAAGTAATGGGGATAACCAGCTACGCAAAGGGCTATATTGACATGGTTTTTCACCCCGAACGAGTCATGGCAAAGAAGTTTGGGGTAGAAACAAACACACAAATAGCTTATACATAATGTGACATGTGATTATACATTTGATAAAAGTAATCGAAAGTATCTGCTTATGAAAGCGGTGATATATTATTTGGATTTATTTGGTTAAATCAGCTACCCAGTAGATGGCTATTGTGAATGGTGATTTCACCCGCAATGGTGGTGTAATGGTGTAAACTTTTTAGGTCACCCAGTGGGCTTCAGGAAATGATCCCTATTTTACTTGGATTTTACTTTCTATCTATTTGGGGGTTATTACATGTTGTTACTAATTTGGGGAACTTCAAACTGCAAAAAGCCTAACTTCAAACTATCTAGGATGGATCGACTCCCAGTTGCACTCTCTATTATGTTGTCAGAATAGTCTATCCTGGAATGTGAAGAACTATCCATGAAATCAATTGTTTCCACACGCATCCATCCGTGAATCATGTACCTCAAAACTGTCTCACCTTATTCCAGTGGTTAAGAACCCTAGTGACTTAGGTTATTCACCACCCCATTTGTAGTTTGGAGCAGGGCCGAAAGATGTCTTGCAAGCATCTGCAAGCTCGGTGTATCACCTCCATTTTAGGTCCAAGGATGGGCTCCAGTGACGAAACCATCTGCCTATGGGGAACCACCTTCCGGAATCGACCATTGGAATTGGTGATGTCGGCGGAAATTCACCTGGTACCTTGCTGTTCACCCTCATAATGAAAAACATCTGATTGAGTTTTTTTCCCCGGTCACATCCTCCTCCTGCTAATGCAGGTTACATCATACACTGTGACTGTTTACATTCCCGCTTTTTCTACTTTGATCCCCAGACTTTTCCAGTGTATTTGCCACATGTTGCCACCATTAAATTGCTGCTTTTATACTCCCCCTTACCCTCTGGTAATTGACCGTAGCTGTGGAAAACATTAGTGAACATGACCCAATAAAAGTTCCATGATTTGCCGAACATGAACATGCTGAGTTTCCTTAGGACACATATTACGTTGGTTATAATTATATATATACACGTATATTACGTATATATATATATATATATCCTATTATATATATCCTATTATTATATCGCCATTAAATATCATTAATTAAATCCCATCATCAAACTCGGTTGATACTTAAACCCCTCATTTTTCATGGCCCCACAGAGCCATGCACCTGCGACGTTGTCGTGCTTTCATCCGTCTCCCTGGGCCGGTGCGTGAATCTACAGGAAACCATGGTTCTTCCATGTTCTTCCTATGAAATATGAGGGGTTCCTGTAAATTGCCCCATCAACCAATCCAATGATAGAAATGGAGTTTGAATGGGCAATTTATCTCTTAAATGGGTGATTTTCTATTGTGTTTGATGACCAAAGGCTAAGGGTTCAATAGGAGGGAGCCAAGGATCGGCGATGGCCTGGATGGGTCGTTATCTGGAGCTGGCTTTGCCCCGAAATGGAAGCAGAAATAACCAACCATCAGAATGAACAAAGGATATATCATGGACTCATATATTGGATATTACTGGATAATATATGATAAATTATGATCATATCACCAACAAGCACCCTTTTTCCTGGTACCATCCCACTTTTCTGCGGCTCTCACCAGGAGCCACACAACTCTTGGGCACCCCAACTCGACCGAAGGGCCTGGTTCAGAGCCACCTGCACGGGAAGTCTCTTAAAATGGGGGATCCCAAAGTCACCATAGGTTTCAATACTGAGTCATGGTCATCCATAACTTGGATTTGGGCGTACCCCTATGACTTAGGAACCCCCAAATGAGCATTCTTCAAAATCCTTCTTGCATTCCACTACACTGGTTGGTTAAGAACAGGGATTCTCCGTTCTTGGATTATTATAAGTCCATGTAATTCCCCAATATATTGGCTAGCGGCTAGTACAATATCCGAACAAATCATCAACCAACAATCGTATTGAAATGTTTTGAACACTGCTCAAAGAATTCCAATTCTTAGACTCAATAATAATACATAGTGTAGACATATTCATCGGGGTAGAAATACATAAACCATCTAATATGTGTCATTCAAGGTATTTGAGCCCAATTTTATAAAGTATTTTTTTGGTGACAAGTTCAAGATTTTCCAAATATTTCCTGTCTACTTCAGGGATCTTCAGGGATGTTTTATTAGACATTAAATGTGGATGATATTTATCCATTGTTTCGACCAAATGAATCACACCTCATCAGACCCCCAAAATCTTGGCCGACCTGTCTCCTCCAGTTCCTCGCGCATGTCCTGGCCATGGGACGCATATGAATACGTCATGCGGATACATACATGTATGTATGTAGGTATGTAGGTATACGTATTTATATATATATAATTATATATATATATCATGTATGTATGTATATTCATATCTTCATACTATGTGTATATTGATCTTATTGCACACTGCACACTGTATGTTTAAAACATGATAAATCATGAGGGACCGGACCCATGGTTTCACGAAAGCGGTCCTAGGAAGCCATGGTCTTGGAGGTTTCTTGAGCACCCCAATATTCACCATCACGGTCTCCACATGAACATTGATGGCTGGTGAATATGGGTGCTCAAGAAAACTCCAAGACCTAATGAATATCATGATATCATCATCTCTAATGATGAATATCATAATATCATGATATCAATATGGTGAATATCAATGATTTCATCATGACGGATTTCATATATTTCATTGACATCATCTCCAAACAGTCAGTGGATCCTAGTGGTTGGATGTTTTAATTTGATGTTCCCATGGACTCCATCATCCCAAAGCAAAACCACTCATCATTCATCCTGTTGCATGGAAGCTGGTTGCATAAAAACCAATGACGTTGACATTAATAGCCATTACCCTCTGGTAGACTAACATCGCTATTGAACATGGTCATTTGCAATTGGAAAATCCACTATAAATGGCCATTTTCAATAGCTATGTTAAATTACCAGAGGGTAATGATCAACAACTCCTTGGCAAGTCCACTGGTTTTTCTCGAAGTGCAGATGAGGACTCCCAAAATGGGCCATCTAAATCATGCCAACCAAGAGATGTATAATGCACTACTAATAGTAATGGATAATCTATGAAAATAGTTGGTCTAGATCTAATATTTTCTAATACATAGACTATTCACTATTCACTATTCCCATGCAAGAATCGCTTTTGTCACCTGCCATGCCAGCCACTCCTTCTGCTGGAGAAGTAGCAGATATTCCAACCAGGGCTTGCCGTAGGGGTAAGCACAACTCGAGTGGATCACAGCCTCAGTGTGTCTCAGCTGAAGGATTTACCCCAATGGGAATGTGGCTATGTTTAAATGGAATATGGAAAAACAGATGAGCTTCTAACATAATCTATTGAGATATATTAACCAAGGTTTACCCAAATCCCTTGAAATAATTTGAAACGAATTATGGTCTGTAGGTCTTGTCCCATCCGAAACTCTCGGGATTTGACCAGTGACTGATGAAGGGCTGGCTCTGTGGGCCACAAATGGTTTGCAACATTATTGTAACTGGTCTAAATCCACCAGACAAATCTTCCGAAGAAAATGGAACAATCATGACCCATTTACTACACATGTCCAGGATGCATACTTGACCTTTGTCAGCACCTAATGCTAAACATAATCATGGCTAACCTTCGATATATCCCCCTCTATCAGGCAAAAATCAAAGTACGATGAATGAAGTTTCCAATAAACTGAAGATTGAGATAAGTCAATGTAAATAATTCATAAAGAAGTGCACTATCATAGTATATATATATATCATATATATATATATATCCTATCATCTCCTACTATTCACTATGTGTTATATACTCGCTGAAACCCAGTGGAGATCCTCCGTGCAAGCCACGGCACCAACAACGGCATCTCCAAAGTCATCAGCAAACAGTGCAGCAGGTAGATGCCTGGGCAGATCATTTTTCCGGGGAAACCATAGGTCCGATGTCCATAGCTTTTCTACATCTATGTAATTCTATGTACAGTACATGTTTACAGTGGATTACAGTGGTACAATACTACTTAAATGCATCTCCTTCGTCCAATTGCAGAAGCTTCTTACCCCAAAGTGAAATAAGCAACCAGCTTAGGGAGTGCAAAACAATGTGCATGTTTACCCGGGTTGGCGTACGAGTAGCAGTAGCACATATCTAAATAATGTCAAACATGTAACATATTCTAAATATGAATTTATCTATACAGCATGTCTGCAAATACATCTATAAATATCCTTAGATATCTATAAATATAATTGCGTAGATGTAGTAGATGTAGAAACAAAAACACGCACACAAAGAAAACAAGAAGTGCAATTACAAATATCCAACGAATTCCTATGCGTACCTTATCTGAACATGTCGCCCACCAATTGGTTTTCCAGCTAAAAAACGTTTCTCCCCACTCCCTACCGACATTTGCTGATCCAAAGCCACGGGAGGAATAGCAAGTAAGTGCTTCTACCCCACCTCCAAACAATCTGGTCATCACTGTTGGCAATCATCTCATCTGAAATTTGTGGGGAAGAAACATCAGAAAGCCTGATAAGTCGATTTCTTGGGCCGTATGACCTAGTCGTTGTCTCTTGGAAGGGTTCAATTCAACCCATTCCAAAGATACCACTTGAGATCATCCAAGAATCCCAAGAACTATGAAACTACCAGGCCAACGACCAACCTCAAGGTTTCACCATGTTTTTTTTTAACCCGATACCCAATGAACATCTCAGGACTGGGGCCACCAAACGCTTATCTTCCAAGTTGAAGGGTCCATAGCTCAAGACCTTGCGCTGACTCTTCAATTGGTAGGTTGAAACTCTCAACTCTGATAGATGCTGATATCTTGTCATCCAATTTCGCAATGCCACATCAAATCACCCTTTGTCATCCAGCTTTGGGGATAAATCCTTCAGAAACCTGGACCTAGCTGAGCTGTAAGTCAACATGTTCTAAAAAAATGCCCATCATCCCTGACATCACTGGCTAATAACCACATCAGTTCTGTCACAATCATTGAAAAAATAGAGATGACGACCATTTCACCGCCCATGGCTTTGGGATTTTCACATGTTTTCACGGCTTTTCCTTCAGCAAATCAGAGAAAAACAACCACCATTTTTTGGCTCCCCGACCACCCACTGGAAGTAGGTCACCGACCTCAGGCCGGGATTGGAACATGTGAAACATCCAATTCTAGATTGGCTCTTGATTGTTTAACGATCCATTATTTATAGTATATAGGCTTTCAATAATCCAAGGTGGTGCAGGATTTCTTCCATGCACAGTATGCTTTTAATTTGTGACATCTGTGGCATAATGCTGTCTTGACACCAGTCCAGAATAGATGCAGGGTAGACACCTATGATAGGGTCCAACCAATCCACCATAGATATTGAGATCCTGAGATCCCTCTATTAAGCAGTTGCCAGGTCAAGAATCCAATTTCATGGGATAAACAACCCGTTTATCCCTAACCCGGACAGCAGAAATCCCATATCACTTTGAACCAACACTCTTGTTTTTGGCCACTGCTCATATAGTAATCTCCAAAATGATGAATGATGATGAATGAGTGCATGGTAAAGAGACGGATACTGCATTTAAATAATCACAAACTGAGAGACAAACACACAGATATACACAGAAATAGAATAGACAAATAAACAAATAGGTCAAAAACATAATCACATAGACACCTGATAGGCCTTTATCCGTCCACCTATCGAGACAGTCTCTGTTGCGGTGTTCCTACGGGGATAGGCCCAAGCTGTTGAGTTGTGGAATTTCGACCATAGGTCGAATCAACAGTTGCAATAGACTTATCACATTGACATCCGAAATTAGATGATAAAATAAACATAGATAAACATAGCAACAATGAAACCATAGCCATAGAAGTGGTAACCTGTAACTTGTGCAATGAGATGATGGCTGTGGGGATCATGAGTACTCGATTCAATTTCACTCTAATTAATTTACTTAATTGGAAACGAATTCAATGACCAAAATCTGCTGACATTTTGAACCATGCCCACGTTGTCTTGCTCCCTGTGTCTGAGAATTGGATCCCCCACAATTTGATGCCTGACCATGTTCCCCGTTAAATGCACATAGCTTGGAAGTAGACTCCATGTCAAGACAAAACCAAATCATTGCATATGCCATAATGGTGCTATTACATGTACATATTTTTTGTTTACCTACGTCTATGCATATATTACAGTATCTACATACATGCAGCATACATCTCCCAGCTCCCAACCCACCCATAAGGCACTCAGCAGTTTCTGAAGACTCACCACGTGACCCCCCCCCAGTTGAATTGAAACAACGGCATGTCCGCTTGCAGAAAAGGAACACAACACCTTTGACGCCCCAGAATTTCCAGAAAGGCCCAATCTGGCGAAGATATTCATCAAAGGTATGCCTAAGCGGCGCAAAGATGCCCCGTTGAACGGGGTATGGCAGGGCTGGAGCTCCATGGCATTGTTTGAGGGTGAACCATCCATGGCTCCACAGGACCTTCCATGCCATGGACAGGTAGAATTTCTTCGGGATCTAACATTCATCATTCCTCCATTGATACCATCTCTACTCATTTTAAGTTCATTCTAGATTGCACATATATATTATATTATATTATATTATACCATACTATATTATATTATATTATACTATATTAAATTATAATATATTATATTATATTAAACTATATTAAATTATACTATATTATATTATATTATACTATATTATATTATATTATACTATATTATATGATATTATACTATATTATATAATATTATAATTTACTATACTATATTATATAATATTATATTATATTACATTATAATATACAATACTATATCATATAATATTATATTATATTAGAATTATACTATATTATATTATATTATACTATATTATACTATATTATATTATATTATAATATACTATACTATACTATATTATATTATATCATACTATATTATATTATATTATACTATATTCTATTATACTATATTATACTATATTATATTATACTATATTCTATTATACTATATTATACTATATTATACTATATTATATTATACTATATTATATTATATTATGCTATATTATATTATATTATACTATATTATATTGTGTTATATTATATTATACTATATTATATTATACTATATTATATTATAATATATTATATTATACTATACTATATTATACTATATTATATTATATTATACTATATTATATTATACTATACTATATTATATAATATTATATTATATTATACTATATTATATTATATTATACCATATTATATTATACTATACTATATTATATTATATTTTACTATATTATATTATATTATACTATATTATATTATATTATACTATATTATACTATATAATATTATATTATATTATATTATACTACATTATATTATATTATATTATATTATATTATATATTATATATTATATTATATTATACACTGTGTATATATATATATCTAAAGCCAAGCGCCGACATCTATCTGCCCCTTTTTTGACCCCCTTTTTCACCCGTTGGAGGTGTGGTCCGCCGCCCAAGGACTCGAAAGTGAAGACGAAGGCCAAAGCGAAGGAGCACAGGATGAAATTCACCGCAGCCGCGGCCTCGTGAGGCGCCGGAGAACGTCATCGGATTCGGATTCGGATTGTTAATAGTGAATAATAGTAGAATATATTATAATATATTATATCATATTATATCATATCATATTATATCATATTATATCATATTATATTACATCATACCATATTGTATTATATTATATCATATATTATATAGTATAATATTATATCATATTATATTCTATGATATTATTATTCTGATTAATAATTGATTAATAGTTGATATAGTTGATTAATCTATTCTTAATGGACTTATAGTTGGTTAATATAATGTCGGCCCAAGACTTACCAGGGGTGCACCGTGTCAGCAAATGCTTGGGGATTGGACGTGCCATGATGTTTTGGTCTTCTTGGTGGTGCCCTACTCCGGCCTGAATGGGTTCAACAAAAAGGTCTTTGGGGACGGATGAAGATTTGTGGAGTTTGTCAATTCAACTTTGCCAATGCTATAATGTCAACCCTGGATAAATACACCCCTAGGCTGTTTAATTGGGGGGGTACAGTACCATTTCAGTCGCCATTTATCACTATTTGGGGTAACCACTATAGCTAATTAAGTGCTTTCAGTAACAAGAGGCTTGGGAAATCGGTTCCCACGGCATTCTCGCGTCAGAGTATTGATCTGTTTCTCCTCTGGCTGTGATGGCGCTTTTTCGTAGCACTGTGCTTAGACAAGCTACCCAACCAGATTGGATCACTCTAGTTTGGCGACTGCGATTTCTGCATGGCATGTATGATTACAATTTGGCACGCCCGACTGCCATCATCAAACTTGACAGGCAAACAAGACAAGACATCAACATCATTGCTGGTTTACACCCGCATTTATTACTGATCATTTTGCCCATGTTTGGACAAACTTATAAACCCATTCATGGACGGTTTTGTCGGTTAGTTCAACAGTTCTATCCCATTAGATTCCAGATTCGACCTACTACCAACCATTTACCGGACTCCACACACATGGACATCCATTTATCTATGGTTTGATAACATATTCCATCTATTTTTCCTAGCTTTTACACCCGTTTGAGTCTAGAAAATAGGCTAAATCTGCCACATCATCATCATATCTCCCGGATATCCTTAGTAAAATGGCCTAATGTGCAGGATCTTTCCCATTTTCACAGCCCTTTTTCCCGTTGACGCCGAGATATCCCCGTATAAGGGTCTCCGCACCAGGTGGATGTTCACCTCATAGAGCTCGGTACAACTCATGCAGCTCCTGCAAGACATAGTATGATTGTATGGTTATGATTGATTTATATAAACCATCATAATGGTATACGGTTTGCGGTTGACGGTTTGTATGTTTTTTCTATGGTTTCTATGATGTGATCATTATTATCTATATATGTTTCTATGTGCGTTTATATGATAATGATTGATAATGCATATATAGAATTATATATATACCCACCTACACTGCAAGCGAAAAATATGTGGTATATTAAAATAATAAATATATATATAGATAATTATATATACACACACCCACCTATTAAACTTTGTTTAACATTATATATACCCACCTATTCACCAGCAAAAAAGGATGGTGTTGTTTTAAATGTATGTATTGCACTGTGACGGGAAGCCATGGACATCTGGGCGTAGCAAAGTGCCATCTGGAAACAGGCTGTGGTCATGGGGATATGCTCCCGAAAAACCAGGGGATGTGAAGCAAAATAGGCATGTAGCACCCAATACAGAGGATGATCCTTAGCTGGAAATTGGGTTCTTAATTTGAACCACACTTGGGATCTAGCTCGAGGCAGGGGTCCAGGAACATGCATGATTTGCTCATCTTGAGTCTCCTATCCCAAGAATAAGTCTGTCAATTCGATATCCTCGCATGTAGGACGGAATATTCAGAAACTACTAAAACCACCAGCCAGTTCAGGCTTTGAAACGGCTTTAAGAGTCTGTGAGAAATAAGGGGTCGGTACGACTTAAAGAAAGGGCTGAACACTTCAAGAGCTATATAGATCATAGAATTGTTTGAATTTAGAATTGGGAAATCGACTGTAAATTCAATTTTTGGGACATCCTGTCTACTCCAGGATCATTATTATACAGGATTAAACATCTCATCCGTAATTAGTTGCCGACTAAAAAAACACTGATTCTGGGCAAACTCAAATAGGATTTGAGATACAAACCTATCCCTGCAGTGACGGGCCCTGCTCCCATGTACATTTTTCTAAAATAAATGCGGCCCCATAACTCCACTTAAGTCCCGCAGAACCCTAGGGCCGCAGGAATGTTCATGGATCAATAGTGATCAATATGAAGGTACTCTAAAAACAGAAATCCCTCTTGGAGATTCTTTTAAACCTATATAAATAAACCTCCTATAATCCCCAAAGAGGGTGGATCCCTCTTTTATATCCAGGCCCAGTGCAGGGCGCTCTTGGAAGCCCAATAGCACAAGGACGGCGCAGAACTTTGGAGAAAGGTCGTCAATAACCTGCCATTTGTGGATCCCCGGGATTTATGGATGTGAATACAGTAACCCAGTAACCCCCTCTAAAGTGGTTATGCCTATTGATCTATAGCCATAGATCCTTTGACATCTCTTGTTGACGTATGAAAAGACGTCTTGTTGACGTCTTGTTGGTGCCCGGAAAAAAGTTCGCTTTCAGTTTCGAGAATCATATATGGAGATGTTTGAGAATGTATTAAGATCATTTCAAATGCAGTTGATTCCATATTTTTCTTGGGTGAATGAACATCCCTTCCCTTCACAATTTGCTGTGCAAAACGGGTGAGCTGACCGAAAAAATGCTTCAGAAAGGAGTCGGATGAACTTGTAGATGGAAAATCCTTGATGTTTTGGTTACCATCTGGTTATGACTAACATAGCCATGGAAAATCACAAGTTTTTAATAGGTAAACCTCTATTTCTATGGGCCATTTCCCATGGCTATGTTAAATAACCAGAGGGAAGTATCTTGAAACTTGATCGTGAGTTGCAACTGAAAAAAAACATGGTGGTTCAACTGTGAAAATGACCTGCAAAGCCATGGATTTGGCAAAAGAAATGCTATTTTTGATCCCTGACGCCAAGTTAAAACATGTTAAAACAAGGTTGCTCATAGATCCTTCCGAACACATGTAGCTTGTACAGTTATACCCTATCAATCTTGCCATGTTCATAAATTTTGAGCTACAGCAGCTTAATTCAATGGACTCGAATCATATTTTGCTGAATTCCTTGAAGGCTCCTTCGTTTCTAGACATCTCCTATGGGATTAGAACCCGAATGCAAATCTTCTTTGCCCCTATTGGCCATTATTGGCCCATATACAATTACATATACATATACATGTACATATACATGTACAACATCTTTCAACTGGGGCGCCTGGTGGCAGTGATGACCATAATCATAAAGACCCAGGTGCGCACACCTGGCCATGTCTCGGTAGGGGATAGGTCGCAGGGAGCTGTTGAGCAGCAATTTGTCTAGGAAAACCCATGGGTTTCTACCAAGAATTTTGGTTGGGGGTTCCTGTAGATGTCCATTTCATCCAATTTTGGGACCCCGGGAGGAATTCAACACCTTGAATAAAACATGTCTGATGTGATGCCATCGGTTACATACACCTGTCAACTGGTTACCAAATCACGCAATGTTTGATTTTTCCAGTGGAGACCAGAGATCCCCAGGTTGAGATCAATCTGAACTGCAGGAGCACATCCAAGTGGCAATCAAGTAATGATTACTTCACCAATTCATCCATCTATGAGTGGGATGTATGCCCCAGTTCGGTATCACGGTATCTCCATGAGTACATAATAATATGTATATTATATACATACATATATGATCATATATGTATCACTATGTATCCATATAAATCAGTACGGTTGGTGATTAGTACTGTTGTTGATCAGATATTCCAAGGGAACATCCACGACGGGCCTTGAAGACTCAAGTTCCTCAGCCAAGTTCGAGATGCCACCCGTTCCACCCTCAAATGGAGACCCTGCCCAACATCTGCTTTTCTTCAAGAAATCAAGTGGATGAAAAAAAAACACTGACCTTCCAATTTAGAGATTTTGATGATTTCCAATAAATCAACAATACTGTCAAGCGCCATAAATGATGTAAAACAACCATCCTTGACAATATTAATCAAACAATATCAAACAATATTAACCACATAAATAAATAAACGCACATCATTATACATATCACAATAATTTGTCAACCATCAAACGTCACGTAACAGGTCAAAAACAAATCTACCCTCATCATCAGCAATCTGTTTCGAGCTGCTTGAAAGGTTTCACAAAGGCTCGCCGTTCGACATCTTGTCTTGACTCCACATCCACCACTGTCACGAAGAGGCCTGTGACGATAGTGCCGGTGTTCGATTTTACGCCTTGGCATGGTTTCTAAACACACAGAGTCGATCCTTCAACAGGTTTCTTGAGGGTGTTGGTTCTTGGGTGACGGGATTAGACACACCATTTGACCAATTGATCACCTTGAGTGAATATAATCCTTTCGTTCGGGCATCACTCAACAAATGCCCAAAAAACCCACAGGTCCTCAGGATTTTACGGGCGATCACAGCCAAGGTTCCAAAACAAATAGCAGTCTTATAGGTTGTGGACCCCATCCTAACCATACCAACGCCAAGGACGTGAATCCTGTGTTGCAGACCATGGCAGGATTTGGGTTCCTATCTTATTACCCTGAGAAAACAACAACCAGTCAGAAGGGTAACCACAATTTAGCTGCCAGTTGACACACAAGAACAACGATTCCATCACCAAAGTCTTCTTCTCATCATCATTCATCGCATTGACACGCCGGAGAGTGCATGAAGCACGTCTTTCATCATGTGCAGAACGGAATCATGACAAAGAGCGGTGTCCAGAAAGTTGCAATGATCACTCATGTTCTGGTTGAACTCAGACAGGCAACCCAGCTTTGCCAGATGGTTGTAGACAAATTTGGTTGCTTCGAAAACCCTGAAACTGTTCTACACCGATGGATATTGTGTATCAGGAAAATCCCGGTACTTGGTCTCATTGTTCTTGATCCCATTCTGAGTCTTGTAGTGATGCCCACTTCTTTCAGCCTCCCGGTTTGGCAATCAGAACCGTAGCAGGGTCCAGTTTGCGTTTACGTCTTGTTTTTGTTCTTGTTGTTGTTAATGCTGTTGTTGTTCTTGTTGTTGCTGTTGTTGTTGCTGGTGTGTTGTTGTTGTTGTTGCTGTTGTTGCTGCTGTTGTTGTTGTTGTTGTTGTTGATGTTGTTGTTGTTGTTGTTAAATGGTTGTTGTTGTTGTTGTTGTTATGTTGCTGTTCTGTTGCTGTTATGTTGTTGTTATGTTACTGTTATGTTGCTATGTTGATACGTTATATTGTTATTGATATGTTGTTATATTTCTATGTTGTTATGTTGACATGTTTATATTGTTATTGTTAAGTTGTTATATTGTTATGTTGCTATGTTTATCTTATCCCTGGAGCAACAATTCTGGAACTCCATTCTATCCATTTATATCCCGTGATATCCTGTGATAGCAGCATTTGTGTTGCTTCATTCCCCATGTCTTTGAGGCTGCCATGTGAAATCCCCAGGAAACACCATCCCTATAGGGTCCCTTGGGTCCCGAGGCCGAGGCCGATGCCTAGCACGGACCACAATGCCCAAGCTTCCCAAATTTCCGAGCTCTCCACCTAAAAGTGGCCAAGAAAAAAGGTGCACCAAGTGGTGCCCACAGTTCGCCACAGTCATTCAGCCATGAAAGATGTGTTTCATGTTATTTTTAGGAACGACAAAAATGTTTTTTCCATGAATTCTTAATGATTTCGATGTTAGTTTAGAGACCCATTTGTGCAAACATGTTTTCATTTTCGCATTTTGGAAAGCTACAAATGAGTGGCCAGTCACTTTTGGTCGATATCACGGGTATCATCAGGGATGCATCGGCTAACCCCAAACAGACATGGGGATTGAGGAAGCCATAGAGAACCATCACAAGCCTTTCATTTCGTCTGGCTTGCAGATCCCAAGTGTCCTAAAGCACCCTCAGGGGTTCTGTTCCCCAGTTCGGTTTTGTTCTGCCAACAACCGCCTAAGTTAAGCCATTCCCGTGTAGGATTTCATCCGGACTTTTCAAGCAAGTCCATGCCCAGTTGCCGCTGTCCCATCAACTACTAAGCATCTCGTGGCATGTGAGTACAGACAGTTATTGCCAAGTTGTGTGATAAACATCTATACCATTATCTGGTGATAAACATCTATGAAACCCAACTGTTGATCCATTTTTTGGGTGGATTAAGTGGATTATTGGGTTATTCAAACCCAAAAACATCTATAAACATCTACTATCATGGATTATGGAGGGTGGATAAACATCTATTGTCATGAACTAGTCACCCTCCATAACCCAGGTCGTCAAACACATTCGGCCGCTGAACTCATCAGTTGAGGTGCAATGGTGGAGATCACCTGCAGGGAGGGTTCAAGACCCTCCAGGAATCATACATGTATATATAGCTGGAAAGGTCCTTATAAGTGGAGGGTTTCACTGTGAAAACCCTCTACAAATGGTTTTATAGTCTGGATTCGATGAATCATAATGGTTTACTAAGCTGAAAAAATCGTCCAATTGGGGATAGTTACGCGGTGGGGTCGTGAGTTTTTGTTTCCCTAAAGCAACCTTAAAACATGGAATTAAATTGGCAACCATTCGGTATGCAGTTAATCAGCACAAATCTCAATCGCTGAAAAATGCTATGCGATCGGCAGATGAGAATATCGAGAAACCATGGTTTGTCATCCATGCATCCAGAAACTGAAATCTCATCAGCACAAGTTAGCTCGCCTGATCCACACATTGTATCTACAGCAGGAAACATGGGTATCTTATCACACAAAAAAATGGCAGGCATGCTGAATGGAACTCACCTCTATGTCAAGTTTGCACCTCCCTAACCCCCTCCCGACCGGATCTTCTGGGAGTTGTGATGGGTAAAACATGGTAAAACGGTGAACAGAACGGTGGGACACAAAACATCTTCAGGATCATCACCAAATCCCCCAATTCCTGGCTGTTGACCTGTGTGGAATGAGCATTCCCTTGTAATCGCAGTTTTCTCACGCAAAGATGACCAAAGAAACCAATGTTCACCTCAGCAACGTGCTTGCATCATGTTGCATCGTCGGTTAAGGGTGAGATTCAAACCATGGATGGCATGACTATTCCCGTGAAATTGGATGAACTACAGACTTTTGCCTGCTCTCCCCTTCTTTTTGGAGTCTGGTGGTGAATGTTTTGGGGTCTGGAAAGATCATTGGGAAAAAATAGTTGACTCCGGAAACGATGATTGTCCCCACATAATCTATATCCCATAAACTCTACTTGATGCAGGTGTCACTACTCAAGCCGATCTCCATTCAAAACCGTTGGGGTGAGGCCGAAATTCTTCCAACAAACATGTGACAATTGGACAATCCCTACCTTTAAAAGATATGCAGTTCATAAATGAATCTAAATGATATATACAAACATAACATAAGAAGAACACATCATAAGACCCTGATTTGATAACTACGCTGAGGCCCCCCCAGCAGCTATCTTTGTTGGTTTATAACCCCCTTAACAAAAAACATATATTCCCCGAATCAACCGCATCAAAATCAGCCCCAGGACTCCCAACAGGAAGCAACAACATGTCAAGCAATCCATCGACGGTGATCCTGACCGACAGTCATCACTGCGTTCTAAGAAACGCCCAACTGACTGGACACATATGACACATAATCCCTACAGTAAAGATACCCTCTGGTAATGACTAACATAGCTATTGAAAATGGCACCTTTACAGTGGATATACCCATTGAACATGGTGATTTTCCACAGTTTTTTGTATGTTTACCAGGCCGGGTACCACAAAAGCAATGACTGACAATGACTGCAAGGGGAAATGTCTTCGGCTTCCGGTGACTTGATCCACTGCTGCCCCCAGCGCACTTTGTCACCACGTCTTTGTTTCGAACCGAAGAAAAGTTGCAGACCTCCACACGGGCGGTTGGGGTGGTTGGGGGTTGCTCAGACATCCCTGGAGGTTGAGAACGCTGGGTAAGTCCCAAACACCAGTTTGTTCTTTAAATCATCTTGAACTCTCAATTATACGAATCATTACTAATTGGTTCAAGATGATTTAATACTTCACCAATCTAATAATTAACTAATTCAAAACAATTCATTGATTTCAGCCAGTTTCTGATTTGAATTCAGTCAGACTGTGGATCAAAAAGCTGGTAATTACCCAGGTGGACCTCAAAAATAGCCTCATTAAAGGGACGTTCATCTCCCCAGATAATCCCTTCTTCTTATTTCTAAAACTCCCTAAAAAAACAGGGTT